CCTCTCGCCCCTTCTATTCAACATTTATGTGAAACCGCTGGGTGACATCATCCGTGGTTTTGGGGTGAAGTACCATCAGTACGCTGATGACACCCAGCTGTACATCTCCACCCCAGACCACCCCAATGATGCCCTCGAGGTGATGTCCCGGTGCCTGGAGGCCGTACGGATCTGGATGGGGAGGAACAAACTCAGACTCAACCCATCCAAGACCGAGTGGCTGTGGTTTCCGTCGTCCCGATATACTCAGTTGGCGCCATCTCTGACTATTGGGGGCGAGTCGTTGGCCCCCATAGATGGGGTTCGCAACTTGGGCATCCTCCTGGACTCACGGCTGTCTTTTGAAGAGCATATGACGGCCGTAGCCAGGAGGACTTTTTATCAGGTTCGCCTGATTCGCCAGTTGCATCCCTTTCTGGATCGGGACTCGTTACGCACGGTCACTCACGCCCTTGTCACCTCACGCCTGGATTATTGTAATGCTCTCTACATGGGGCTCCCCTTGAGAAGCACCCGAAGGCTCCAACTGGTCCAGAATGCGGCTGCGCGGGTGGTAATGGGAGCAATGTGGCGCTCTCATGTAACCCCCCTCCTGCGTGAGCTGCACTGGCTCCCAGTGGTCTTCCGGGTGCGCTTCAAGGTTTTGGTTACTATCTTTAGAGCGCTCCATGGCTCAGGACCAGGGTACTTACGAGACCGCCTCCTGCCACCAATAGCCTCTCACCGACCAGTTCGCTCCCATAGAGAGGGACTCCTCAGGGTGCCGTCGGCCAAACAATGTCAACTGACGGCCCCCAGGGGGAGAGCCTTTTCTGTGGGGGCACCCACCATCTGGAACGGGCTTCCCCCGGAGTTACGAAACATCCAAGACTTACGCATTTTCCGCCGAGCCCTGAAAACATTTCTATTCCAACAAGCTGGTCTGGCCTAACTCTCCCTTTTTAATTGGCTTTTAAACTGGCTTTTAAATTGGGTTTTAAACCTCTTTAGATAAATTTGGATGTTTTTTAATCTTTGAGCCTAAATTACTTAATCTGTTTCTTAATAGTTTTTAACTTCTATATGTATTTGTATTTATTATGGCTGTTCACCGCCCTGAGTCCTTCGGGAGTAGGGCGGTATACAAATATGAATAAATAAATAAATAAATAAATAAATAAATAAAAGAGTGTAATTCTTCATACCTACTTAACTCAGCCTACTTATGTTACCTTTTAGAACAAACAGAAGAGCACAAATATTTTCAAGATTAGACTTGTTCCCTGTACTATCTTGCTGTCATTTTTAAAGTTTCTTCATCAAAAAATAATCTTTGGTTTCTTATAGGCAGTTAATAGCCAGCAGCTATACTTTATAAAAATCCTATTATTTTCTGTAGTTGGGATTTGGTAGTTAAATTGTGCTCTTGTTCATAATAAATAGAAAAGTTATGTAATTTCTCCCATAGCAAATTAGTAAGAGAAATGTCAGTTATCTGCAGCATTGTCTGTCCTAGAACATTGATTTTTTTCCATGAGAGGTAACAAGTATAACACTTGCTGTGCTCTGAGTATTCGTTTTGGTTGAAGTCCTCTGTAGAACAAAAAGTATTTGCTGCAATACATTCAAAAGTAATGTTTGGTCTCATAAAATATATTGTCTTTCATTTGTGCTAAGAATCTGCTGCCATCTAGTGCATCATTATAAATAAATAAAATTATTATTATTATTATCATTAAAACTGAATACATATAATTATGTGAGGATCTGGTCTGCTTCAATAAAATATTTTAGCACTTTAAAGAGGCTTTGGGGCTAACAACTTGGCACAGAGAAAATATCTTCCAGATCTAGACAAAGTACTCTGTACTGCAGCCCAAATTAATGTATTTATTCCTGCAAGGTGGGGTCCAAGCTTTCTTTAAACCAGATGCCTTCAGAACATTAGTTCCAGCATTTAGAAAACTCGAGGATGATTGGAGGGAATATATAGCAGTGGTACCCAACCTTTCCAGCTTTGCAGACTAATGGGGGTAGGGGTGGGAAGAGGAAATGGTTCTGTGTGAGTGGCAGGTGCATGCAGTTCCATTTGTGTGAGCAGCAGAATGGAATTTTGCATACACACACAAATGCCTGCCACTCACAGAGATGGAACTGCGTGCTTACCTGTCGCTTGGATGGCTTGGTTCCAAACAGGCTGCAGCCCAGTACTGGGCCATAGCCCAGGAGTTGGGAACCCCTGATATAGACCAAATCATTCAAAGGCTACCATTTTGGGAAAGGCTGGACTCATGGAAACTGTAAGATGAATGGAACATGTCCACGAGCATCTCCTTACAATAAAACACAACTTCTCCAGAGTTAGAAGACCATTATACTGCTTTGATGCAACTGACAGATACAAAATACAAAAATGTGGGTACATTATATTACATAGTATCACTAAGTTAGTCTTCTTTAGTCTGTGAGTTCTCCAGATATTGATCTACAAACTTCCAGAATTCTTAATTGCTGACCATGCTGGCTGTCAATTCCTACATTCCCTTGAAGGCCACTGGTAGGGGAAAAATCAGAAATCATTTGGTAGCATCTTTCCAGAATAAAGGTATGGGTTTTCCTGAATTGTAGTTTAATTCAGCAGATAGCAAATTATTTTGTTAATCTGAAAAGATGGTACCAGATTTATGATTTTTGGGTACCATAATTCTCCTTCTGCAACAAAGTTGCTCCAGATCTACATCTTCAAAACAGTTGTTCTAGACAAGGGAACACTGATAAAATCCATGGGGAACTGAATGCAGTGCTTTATTTGAAGTTACATAAGAGAACTTACTGAGATGTCATTTCAGGGTCATCACTTACAAGGTGCATATACTATTTCATGGTGTGATAACCATGGCACTTCTCTAATTCTGTTCTCATAAACTACCCTGCATGCACACATTTCAGTTTGACACTGTTGCTTTGTTCTCTGTTCTTGCTGGATTAACAAGATTTAAACATGCATTTGTAATCTTCGCAAACTCACTTGGCTGGTTGGTAGAAATGCCTTCAAACGGAGGAGGAAAAAAAAAGATGCTAAGAAAGTGACCCATATAGGAAATCCCCAAGTGCGACAAGACTTAAAAGCACAGATTTTCCAAGCTCACACTCTCAGAGAACCCAGTAGTGCAAATGCAGCATTAAATCTGGACTGGACTTAACATGAACATATTGGAATAATTAAAGTGATCATATGAAGAAGAAAGGAAAAGTGTTCTTGGCTTCTCCTCAATCATATCAAAGAAATATAATCCAAGGACTTTCATACAAATAAAAGATCAAAAACCTTTGAAGATCAATAAACAACTTATCACTGCTCCTGCAAGGACAAACTGAACCATTCACCATTTGCAAAGGGAACACATTTTCTTTTTTTTTCAATCTGCAAACCCACATATTTAGTTAAACACATTTTTGCTTTAGTTAGCACTTGTGCTGTCTCCTGAGGTGTGGGGGATAAGTATCAAAGCATAGATAAAGCATGCTGCAGTCCAAACAAAAGTAATCTTGCTAGAATTATCCAAGCCTTTTGCCTAAGCAGTTGCAGAAATCTTTTCTCCACCAATTTTCATTTTAACAGATTACAGTAGTTATGTTTTGCCGAAAGATTAAACAAGCTTCTGGTTTTCAAAAGCTGCAGATTATAATGTTTGCTGATACTTGCATATGATCATAAGAAGCACCACCTTAAATTTCCTGACATGGGAAAGGGAGAAAATGCCAATTAAATTAGATTTGTTGTCAAAACTAGCATATTTATAAGCCCTTGTTAAAATAGTTCTCAATACTGAGGACAAGTTATCAACAGTAGCATCAATTGTTGTAGTCTTAATTTGCATCAAACAGTGTCATAATGTATTAGTGCCAATTTACACAATTATAGCTGAAATGCCCATTATTAATTTTCTTTCCTAAAATAAGTAAATTTCTGTTCTTGATAGCTATAGAGCATTACAGAAAGGCAGAATATTGGATTTGCAGTTCTATGGCAGAAACCTGAAACTCATCCCATTAAAGGCTCTTACTCCATTAAGCCTTTTTTGCAATGCAAGTCTTCCATTGATGAAATAGCTGCCTGGCTACAGCTAACTACAATTCTTTTGATGACAATTTATAGGATAATTAGTTATACACTTGCTTCAATGGTGGGTTCCTTCCGGTTCTGGTAGCGGTGACGATATGACATCACTGAACTGGTTCTGCCCCCCCCATTATTCTTACCTTTTATTTGCCCCCCCCAATCTATTGCTGCCTCCTGAGTCCCAGCTGATCGGCTAGAGGGGAAAAAACTGTTTAAACTCTTGCCATGGGGCTTCAAAGGGCCGCCCTACAGCTGATCAGTGTTAAAAGAAAACAAATGAGTAGACCAGTGCCTGCAAAAATAAATGGGTAGACCAACACAGCTCTGCAAGCAGTTAAAAATCTGGTAGACCAGTACCTCTGCTAAATCCTAAAGAATTGTCACATGACCATCAAGCCGCACCCACAAAATAAGCCACGCCCACAGAACCGGTAGTAAAAAATTTTAGAACCCACCCCTGATTTGCTTCTATTGCTTTGACCAGCTTTTTACAGTAGTTCTGATTGAGGATTACAGACTGTGAGTGACATTTCTGGACTTTAAAAGAAGCACACTAGCTTTAAGAGAAGTACAATTCAACATGCATACTGAATGGGCAGCAACTTTGCTTCTGTGACCAATTAAGATACAGTCCTTATGTGCAAGGACATCTTCAGAATGCCGCAAGTGCTTTCAGTTACATTGTTTGGAGATGAGTGATTTCCAATGTAGAATCAAGAGGGGTCTTTACACATCAGCTGGGACATGTCATTAATCTACAACACTGCCTTCCCTGCTTGCAGTACTGAGTCTGCAAAGTTATGGCCTGAAGAGCCCTTACCCAAGTTCATTCTACATGGCCAGAAAGGTAGATCAGGCTGTCCTGATCTGAATAAATCAGACAACTAAGCCAGCTGGACACACTTTAAGCCAGAAGATGAGGCTTTATTGTATAAGCCAAACACATCTCAGTTTGATTTTGTTTTAAAACCAAAATAAATAAATCAGGCTGGGAGATAACGGGGAGATCCAGAACAGAACTGGCCCAGAACAGACAAACCTCCCCACTCACCAGTCTCTTAAGTTTTGGCAAAGATTAGGCACACCAACATTTTTATTTTCTTTCTCCTTTTGCAGAGCTAAAAGAGCACACACTGCACCATTGCTTGGAGTAATCATACAACCACAGCCTTGAAAGCCTAAGTATCTCAATAATAGGAATTGCTTGGAATGTGTTGTTTGCGCTAGCAAAGCAACACAGATACATATTCATTAGGTAGCTCACTCTCTCTGTGTGGCTGATAGCCCACACAAAAGGTAGCATGACAGAAGCTGCCCTTTTGGGCCATGCCCAGAATTTATCCAGATGGAACCCATGTTGGATATATGGCACTGAAAGCAGCAACCAGGAATCTCTTGTTTTTTTCTGGACTGTGCATGGCCTGAAAATGATTCAGAAGTGTTCTGGAGCTGACAAGAATACAGCTCTTCTCTGCTATTCCTTAACCTAGCCTATCCGTGTATTGCTGGAGGTATGGAACGCTGATGTAGCAGAGGACCTCAGGAGGTCAAAGCAGAACACAGATAGAATGAAAAATTAAAACAAATGTCAAGTCCAGAGCGGGCACTACTGGATACAGGAGAACATCTTTGGCTAAGAATGTCTTCTGCTGTTGTCCTCAGCCAAAGCAGTGAGGTACATTTTATTGTAGGCCAACAACAGTTACCTAGAAGCCACCTTCAGTTCCTGAATGGGTAAAAGGTGCGCAGCAGCAGTCCCTGCCACAAAGGATATGTGTGCTTATGTTGCCCAGTGATGTTTCTTGAGCTCTGGACTTTAGGTGAATGAGAGGAAATACTAGCACAAGTAAAGCCAATCTAAATGTTCCATTGTGTGTTTCAATTAAGTAGAATTTTTAGGTTTAGGTGGAATCTTTAAATGCTCTTAGAAGGCCACTACCTTGAGAATCTTGTTTTAGATAGAAAAGTATGTGCTGAAAAGCCAAGGAAACTCAGTGCCTGGGAAACCTCCAAAAGACACAAGACAGGGATCAATCAAACTGGGGACACTCACAGAATGGATGTTGGGAACTACTTCCCAACTTCTTTAAGCTCTCAAGTGTACCTGATTTCACCCTTCAGAAATGTAAGACAATATGAGTTGTTTCCCCAATCAGAAGGGCACACTATCTAACCTCTGCTTACAGTTTATGCCCATAATACTTAAAGTACCTTAAGTATAAATATGTCAGCAAATAACATGTGTATGTGTATTGACCCATGTATCCATATGCACAGAAAACCTTGTGCATACTAGAAACCATGGCTGAAAAATTGTGACTATATATCAATGGCATGACACAAATTATGATCCAACTATGTTCAAATTAAAGAATTATACAGGCCAAAAATGGATTTTCAGACTTTTAAAATTTGTCACTCCCATATACACAAGTACTTCTTAAAATATTGTTAAACCCCTAAGTAAATGCTGTGAAAGAATTATATCTTCTAAATTAAATGAGTGTAAAACAAAGGTTACACACTTTTGCTTAAAATTCAGGGGGAAATGGGTACTATGAATATTAGAGGTGGGGAAAGATTTCTGCTCAAGAGACAGAGCAGAATCTCTAATGAAGCAACTTTTACTAGTGTATAGAATGACAAAGCAAAGAGAGAGCTAAGTTTCTTAGCAGCGACATGAGAACCCAATGAATTTTCAGAATTTTTAGGTGTGTTCATTTCTAGATATGAAGAGAGTCAGAGCCAAAAGCTAGGTGAAGCTGAAGGTCCATATAGTTATGGTTATGGTGACCATGTAAAAAAAGATGTGTTAGATGCTAAGATTCAAACAGGCCTTCATCCAGGATGTAATTTGAATTAGTAAGAGTTAATTTGATAAAACAAGCACCTGAGTCTGTGCCTTGCAGATTTATCTTGCTTCCTTCATGAAAAGAAACAAGATTTCCATAAAATATCCTCAAAGAGGTACACCTAGTGAAGACAATGCTAATTGTTAAACAACAGCAGTTAAACAGTGTGAGCCCAGGATTTTCAGTGTCAGAGATGTAAGATATTGTTGAACGGTGATATTGTCACTGAATTCAAGTGCAATACCAGATCACATGCACCTTGAGTAGTGCAACGGGGGATAAAAGTAATAATTTGTCAAAAAGCAGTGCCAACTCCAGATTAATTTTGGGATTAAAGTCAAGAATCAGGCATTAACTAGAAACCATTCACTACAGAGGTTCCTTTGGAAGGCCAATATTAGTCCCTTTGAAGCTCTCATCCTGGAGCAGTGGAGCAAGGTAAGCCCCAGGGGTTTGTGCAGGAGTGAACCCACACTGCTCCAGAAGATCTGAGCTGCAGCAACCCTCAGAAACCCTAACACAAATATTCAGACAGGAATTGTTTTGATGGGGCACTTCTTTTAACAGCAGGAAGAGGTTAATAACAAGCTCCTTAAATTAGTTTACAAGGTCTATAGTTAAAGACACAGAAAGGAAATGATAGATAGAAACACCACAAACACAGGGTGTTGGGACAGAACTAAGGTCCAGATGTATCTAAGACAAGTCCTTGAAAGAGTCGAGGTTGAAGGCCGTGTCCAGCAAGCGTTGCAGTTCGGTCAAATGATTCTTTTTGTTGCCTGTTGCCGGGGCAGCAGCAGGTTCTCGCCCAGCATACCTAAAGGGAGAAAAACAGACACACAATTACTTATTTGCAATTGCTGCTCTATTTCCCCCCCCCCTTTCATATATGACCTATCATATAGCAACATATATTAACATTTCACCTAAATTAATAAAACATATTAAAATCTACATGTTAAAAAGATCTGGGTTCAAATACCAGTATCTAGGCCATCTAACCATTGAAGCGCAGCCTTCAGCTTACAGCTGGTCACAATGTGATCTCCAATTTGATGTGGGACCCCACAGTCACACTGAGGGGAGGATGCTAGGCCTCATTTATACAGAGAGCAGATGCCATGTGAGATGCATTTAGGACTATCCACTGCTGACGTGGTAGTTCAAAACCTGGCATCTTTTTTGTGGGATCATTTGTCTTCCTATGTCTGGGTGTTCAGCGACTCATTTGGCTTTCCATTGGGAATCAATGTTAAGTCGTGCTTAAATTGTTAAATTTTACTGGCATGTACAGGATTTGAGGGATTGTTGGTGCCCAAAAATAACGGCTGTGCTACTGAGACCTTCTGTGTCAGCATGTTGCTTCTTTTCCTCTTTTCTTAGAACAGACCACTCCTGTGCTCTCACTGGGATCAGACTGATTGCGCCAGAGGAACTATATAAACCTACCCCTCTATCAGAGTAGCCGAAGAAGCCCCTTACCACACTGGCTTTGCACGGTCAATGGTTGTGCGGAGTCTAGGCTTCACGTAATCATAATATCCTTGGTTTTTGTGCTCTTCTTGACACCAAGCTAGGTCTGCATTGGGGTATTTATGGAATTCCTTCAGCAGGAGGTCAAAAGGGAATGGTGACAGCTAGAAAGAAAAGGCTTCGTGTTTATTATGAACGATTTTCAGCCTTCTATCTTTATAAACAAATTGCAGTAGGAAAATTTAAAAAAAGGTCAGTCTGATTCACAAGCTCCACAGGGAAATGGAAAAACAAGTATTTAATCCATAGGATACTTATAGAGTTAAAAAAGAAGAAAAAAGGGACTGAGTAATATAGCAGAAATTTAAGAAGTTGTTAAGGCCAATAAAGGACTTTCATTTAGTAATAAATTGGGCCTAATCCAAATATTCTGCAGGCAAAGTCAGATCACTCATACTTTAACCTCCCTCTAGGCTCACTTGCTAGGAGGAAGAAGAGAAAATTCATAAGGCCTGTTCAGATATTTGCTGGACAAGCCTTTTAGGATTCTTTTCAGAACCAGACGTCTGTCAGAAACCTGCAAAGTGTTGCAGAAAACCTGACTCTACTTCATAACTGTAGTCCACCAAACAAAGCTAGAGGACTAGAACATGCTTGATAGTTAAATTTTACTTTTGCCAGTGGAAGACTTAGTCATTTGGAGTACCAGTGTGGAATTCTTTAGCTTCCTGTTCGTAAAATTCTATTGAGCTTCAAAATACTTATTGTTCAAAGCTCAAAAAGCATGCAGGAGTCTTACTTCTGTAACTCAACAATACCATTCCCACAAAAGCCCTACCTGCTCTACCCTTGTGATGGCCACATCTGCTTCCATATTCCGTGTCTTCCGCTCTCGAATAAGTTCATAATAAAGTTTACCAGTGCAGAAGAGAACTCGTTTGACTTGTTCTGGATTCTGTGCTACCAGACTAGTGTCTGGGATGACACGTTGGAAATGGGTGCCTGGAAAGCAGTGGAAGTTATTACTTTTTGTTATACATCAGTGTACATAGTAAAATCTGCTCCAAGGAGTTTATAAAATAGTTTATAAAAAAGAGGAAGGGGACAAATATGAGGAAGTTTATAAAGGGCAGAATTAATAGCAGGATATTTTTTCCATAAAGACCTGATTTTGTTGACAGAAACCACACATGATGCCATGCAGTTTTTTAAAATATCAAGATTAATTGTAATTGTTGGGGTACTATGGCTCCTACTTCGAAGCTTTTGTCAAGTACAAGTAGCAATGGAGCACTACTCCCTGCTCATGACTTTCTTCACAGGAAACTCCAAGTCAAAAGCAAAGTGCTGTGCTGCCCCTTGGAGGAACAACATCACAAAATTCATGACCTTAAGCCAATGTCTCAAGGCCTGAGTCAGAGACAAATGATAGCTCCAAATATTTTGCTACATATGAGCTCTTCCTCTGGGTATCATTTAGCGATGGTGATTATTTTTCCTAGCAGAGAAGACCCAGACATCCAAAACAGACTCTGCTCCTATGAAGGGTAACAAAACTTTAGGAAGGCTGGCAGGCAGAGTTGTCTTTGTGGCCTTGTGTTGAACTTCAAGAATTTCCTTGCCTAATTGTTCAGTCACATCTTCCCTTCTACCAAAGAAGACATTCCTCCCTAGCCCTGATCCCAAGTCTACTGTACCTGCCAGCATTTCATCAAAACTGGACCGAGCTTCAGGGTGACGCAACAAGGACTTTGGAGTGAAGACTATCAGCTAAAGAAAGAGAGTGGAAGGGAGGGGGAGAGAGGGCCAGGGGAACATAACCCAAATTAATATTGAGGTGTAAGAACGGAACTGTTCAGAATTTAATGAAAGAACAATAATCCAAAGTTAATTATTCAAAGGTTCTGTTTTTGAACATCAACAGAACTGCACTCAGTGTTTCTAGGAGAATATTGACCAAAAAGAAGTGCCAGGCACACAACCAGATGATGTTATATACCAGGATAAAGTAATTTTTCATACTCATCAGTAAGATATTTAGCAGGAATGCAAAACAATAAAAGTGTTCTCTTTGGTAACAATATATTTACTCTGAAATGTTTGATTTCAATCATTTCTTGAATATGACTCAAATGGTGGTAAGAGTGAAATCCAAAATGTGCACTTGCTGGGATGCTATAGAGATCCTAAAATATTTGGATCTGTGGTTTAGTTTTTGGAATAGTAATATATTTGGATTAGCAAAGTAAAGAAATGCTCTGAAGTAAGAAAGCCTCAAGGAGGTAAGAGTGGAAAGTATGCCAGCAGATTTCATGGATTCAGTGAGTAAAGGAATCAGGCTGAGATGGCTTTAAAATGCAGTCATGAAGGATTAATCTAGCAGCAGCTCTGGGGGCTCTGCAGGCTTCCCATCCTCAGAAGCTGTAAACCTGGATGCCAGGAAGGGGGTTGCTATGAGGGAGGGCCATAGTCTGAACTCTGGGTTTCTTGGCTTTCCAAAAGCACTGGGTTAAAGGCTACTGGAATCAGGATGCTGGACTGGATCCATTCTGCTAACACTGTATAGACAATCCTTCTTTAATGACTATTCATTCAGTGACTTTTCAAAGTTATGACAGTTCTCACCATTATGACTGTTGCAGTGCCCTGCAGTCACGTGATCAAAATTTGGCCCCTTGGCAATCTGTCCACATTTACAATTACAAGGTGCACTTCAGCTCCACCCACTTGCTTATCCCTCCTCCAGCTCTGGCCTTTTGATTGCCTGCACTTTGCCACCCTTGCTGCCCTGCACCCGCATGGCCTTGCACTCCACTGCCCTTGTTGTGCCCTCCACAGCTGGTTTTGCATCTTCTTCCTTAATGAGATGCACCCAGTTTGGCCCTTCAAGAAGCAGCTGTAGGCAGCTGCTGGCACACCTCATCAGCAGCAAGAAGAAAATAATGGTGAAAATCAGCTGTGGCAAGGGAAATGCAAGTCAGTCTGGCAGAAGCAGCAGAGGGAACAGGAACAGCAGGGGCAGTGGAGTGCAGGGAGGAAGGACAGCAGGAGTGGTAGATGCAGGGTGGCAGAGGAGACAAGATGGCAGGAATGGGGGATAGATAGGTGAATGGGGAGAGTTCAAGTGAAGGTGAGAACAGCAGGACAGGAGAAGTATGAGGTCTTGGCCTAACAAGTGCAACTGGAACTATTAAAATTGCCACCTCTAAGCAGGGAAGCCTTGATGTTTCACCTAAGGACTGCATCTCTTAACAACAGAAATTCTGATCCCAATTAGGGTTGTTAAGCAAGGACTACCTGTATCTGATACTTCCTTCATTATCTGCCACTCAGTTCAACTGCTCTGAAAAAACGTTCTTTTCATCAGCCAGAAAAGCAAGAGCATCAGAATCATTGGATTATAATATTTTATAAGAAACAATTTAAAATAATTTGCCTAAAAACTAAGATATTAATATTCAGTAGAACGTATCACCTATGACTAGCTAATCAACCTTTTCTAAGCAAAAATATGTATGTGGCATAAAGTTCAATGAGGCTTTTACTGGAAAGAGAATTCCTGGGTGGTGAACAGGGTGCTGTAAAAAATGCCATGGAACAGAACCAGCAGGATAGTCAGAATCTACCAAGCAAAACAGGCTCTTTGCAAATTAATCTTAGTTTATAGTTCCCCCATCCACCGGAGTGCTTTTTTTTGACTAGTGATAAGTTCAGAATTGTTTCACAATTTATCATGTGCCACTTTCTACTTTACTTCAGAGTCTAATGAAAGCTAAAAAGGCTAATATGGGAAGGAAGAATCCATGTTCCTCTTTGTACTAAGAAAGTCATTCTTCATACTGACTGGTTTCCGGAAGGGGAGAAGTATCTGTCTCCGCATAACGTGGAAAAAGTTTGCTGGAGTGGAGCAGTTTACGACAATCCAATTGCAGTCGTACAGTTGGCGCACATCAAAGTCGTCTAGTTTCTGTAGGAAAACAATGATGGAATTCAGAAAGATAGAAGAATGGCATGCATTGCCAAAGTGGTCAAAGAACCTGAAAATCAACTGTGAAATACATCTCTGGATTAGGGAAGGGGATTCCCCTTAAAAGATGAGAGGAAGCAAGACAGCTGAAACAGGTGAAAGCCAATTATGGTAGGCCAGATATTTTGAGGAGGATTTTTTTTCTTTGTAAGCATTATGTTTTATAATTCTTGCATTACCCATCTCAAACTGCTAGTAATCTTTTTAAAAGGATTGGATGTTGGATTGGAGGCTCTAATTTGCATCCTTGCTATCTCAGGTTGCCTACCCTGAAGTACAGCATTGAGGTGATTACAGAGTGTTCAGGCACTCATGGAGGAGCCATTCAGTTTACAACAGGCTGATACTGGTCTTATCCCCCCCACCCCCCCAATTATTCTCAGCATTCTTAGAAATGTGGCTAAGGGACATGTGGACAGAAGAAAGGTGTGGCCAACATGCACTCACAGCCAACTCACCGGGAAGACATCTGGATCATCATTGCACATTTGTAAGAATCGTTCTGGTCGAGCAGAAGAATGCTCAGGGCCCTGCAAACAGATACGGGACTTTCTTGAGTAATGGCTTTTCCTTGACTAAAGAGGGCATTGAGGCAAAACTGAACATTTCTTCTAGAAAGAGGATTGCTATAGAGCAATGGTTAAAGTAACTGGATATGAAGCAGGGAGAACCATGTTCAAGTCCTCCCTTGATAGAATAGAATAGAATAACAGAGTTGGAAGGGACCTTGGAGATCTTCTAGTCCAACCCCCTGTCCAGGCAGGAAACCCTACACCACTTCAGACAAATGGTTATCCAACATCTTCTTAAAAATTTCCAGTGTGAAATAGAAAGAATTAGCTGGAGGACTTTGGGCCAGTTATTTTTTCCCTTAACTTGCTCTATCTCGCTAGAGGTAAATGAGGAACAAGCCAATGTATGATGGCTCTGAAACGCTGAACAGGTAGATATAAAAAACAATAAACAAAGCAATAAAGAAATAAATCTAAATTCCAACCCCCAAATTCTAATATCCACTATTAGGCACTTTTCCAATGTGCTATTAGAACATGTTCTAATATAGGAACAAAAGTTAATATTATTTCTCATTTTCAATTTTGTTATGCTGACCCAGGCTTTAATGCTTTTAATTACCTCAACATATGCAAGAATTTTCAATGCAGGGCAAATCTATATGTAGGATCTACCGGTAATTTAACACCGCTTAAACATAGATATTAAGTCTAAATACATCTATCAGGCAGGTAAAAGGAGACTTATTAGAAAACAACACAAATGTTTCCTTACCATGCCCTCCATGCCATGGGGAAGAAGAAGTACAATGCCATTCTGCCTCACCCATTTGGCCTGCCCAGAGCAGATGAACTGGTCGATGATACACTGAGCTGTATTGTGGAAGTCGCCAAACTGAGCTTCCCAAACCACCAAAGCATTGGGACTGGCCATAGCAAAGCCCAGCTCAAATCCTGCATTGATAGAAAAGGAAAGCATTTTTGGGGGGAGGAAGATTATCAGGGAGAGATAGACTTAAAAATCAACAGTTTACATAACTCCTTTAAGATTTAGTAGAGAAAAGACATACCTAAGACTCCATATTCTGAGAGAGAACTATTGCAGACAGTGTAAGGAGCTTGATTTGGCCATAGATGATTCATGGGAATACAGGTTCTCTTGTCAACATTCTGATCATGCAAGACATGATGCCGATGGCTGGAGAAGAATACAAGTGAACATTTTATTTGGCAGAAAAGTACTCCTCCAAATCACGGGCCTCATGCTATACAGCTTTCATAGACTTCAAAGCAGCTTTGAATCTGATTTCTAGGCCAAACTTGTAGTGCAAATTGCAAAACTCTTCTGTAGACAGAAGTCTGCGCCTACTAATCTATACTGCAATCTCTATAATAAAAGTCCCATAAAAGTTAAATAAAGCTCCAAAGTGAGTCAGAGGACATACCCCATTGTTATTTAATTATTATATTAATGCACTAGTTGCCATGATCGATTACTTCTCTCATCATTCACCAAAACTAGCCAAGAAACATATTTCAATTCCATTATATGCAGATAATGTCGCATTAATTTCCCTGACAGGCCTATGATGGGTTTTGGCCAATTATTTCCAGTTTTGGCTCTGGAAATGAACTACAAAAAGACCAAAGTGGGGGTCTTTGCGAAATGCCATCATATTTGGATTCTAAGTAATCATGCTATTGAGCGGGCTAAATTGTTAAAATATATAGGCATAGTTTTCCATGCCACAATCTCAAGCACAAAGCACAGAGAATATGTACTACAAAATGCTCAGTCAGCCACAGCCACTTTGCAATCATTTTCTATACTAAAGGGGCCTGATTGATCCCACCTGCATGCCAAGTGTACTCAGTTAAATATGAAACGCCATTGATCCTCTAAAAAGAGTTATACTCCAATTTCTTAGGAACATATTTCAAGTTGACTGCTGGGTCTCAAACACGTCTGCAATGAGGATTGAGATTACTACTTGGTTACACCTTCATGTATTGGATCAAAGTATACTTTGCCCTTGTAGGTCTGATATCTTGGATTCTTATTGGCAACCTTTTGTCATTCCTAAAGCAATAGGAAAAAAATGGTGCTTCTGGATTTTTATTAACCCAACTTTGTACATTTGGATACTGATATCCACTTAGACCCATCATGTTTCTTCAAATATACTATATTCCTGACCAATTTGTCACTCTCCTTAGATCAACTAGATACCTAAATCAAATTTCATTTCCTAAATGTAGGATAACATTTACATTGACTTGATTTGATGTCCCACTAAAATACAAAGGTACATCTCTGGCTGCTCACTATTATGGCCTAAGCTGAAGATAATGCTATCTTGACATTTTGCATTTGCCCCCAAATGTTATGGATTTTCACTAAAGTCCTGTATTGGTTAAAGAAAGACTGCCCATGTAAAAGCAACACACTTTACCTGAATGTTCCTCTTTCAACATCTTGTCCACTCAGCCGAATATGGATTCCTTCTTTAAGAAGAGAGCCAAATGCCATATACTCTGCTAAGGCCCAGTCTACAGTCCTATTGGCAACCATCTCTCCTCGTGTTTTTAGAATCCTGCTTAAACCTTTAGAGAAAAATAATAATCAATCTGTTTGAAAACTTTATGATAGCATTTTCCAAAATGTATAGATGCCTTTACAGATGCTTTGAAAGTCTGTTGCTTTGGGTAGCAAACAGTGAAGAATATTGTGTCATAGATCATTTCCATAACCTGAGTACCCTTCAGATGTACCGTACTTTTCGGAGTATAAGACGCACTTCTGCCCTCTAAAAGGGGGTGAAAATTGTGGTGCGTCTTATACACTGAATGTTGCCAAAGCCCCGCCCACCCCCACCCTTTGGCTGTTTTCGGCGTGTTGCATTTTCAGCCTCTGCGCACCCTGTTTTTGGCCTCTATGCATGGCATTATTGGCTGGTTCCAGGAGGCGGGGATCAGCGGTGGTGAATGGGTTGTGCTGAATTGGTGGCGGCAGTGGTGAATGGGTGCCGGCAAACAGGCGCCGGCGAACGGGCTGGTGATGAATAGGCTGCGGCAATTGGGCCGCGGTGGTGCCGAACAGGCCGCAGCGAATGGGCCGCGCTGAAGGCAAACAGGCCGCGGCAAACCTGTGGCAGCATATGGGCTGCACTGAACGGGCCATGGCGACAGCAAATGGGTGGCAGCAAACAGGCCATAGTGGCGAATGGGCCATAGCTAATAGGCTGCGGTGAACGGGCCAGATGAATACTGGATGGATGCTGGGAGGCAAAGGCAGATTTTTTTTTCTTGTTTTCCTCCCCCAAAAAGGTACTGTAGGTGCGTCTTATAGTCCACAGCGTCTTATAGTCCGAAAAATACGGTATGTACTACAATTCCAGAATCCTCAACAGTAACCATGCTGGCTGTGGAATTTTAGGAGCTGAAATTCACATGCCTGGAGGGTGCTCAGGTAAGGCTGTTATAAATCAAAGCATAAGCATAAAATGTAGAAAAAGAGCAAAGACTAAATCTGAAAGATTAAGCTCTGAAGCAGAGTCTATTTTCATCTTAATTTTCTGACAGCTTGGATTGGCTATGAGGTAGGCCCAAATGTACTACGATATATAATACATGGAATCTTGTTAACTATCATTAAAACATCCAAAACAGAAGCAAAGTACTGATTGGTCCCTCAATTCTGAACATCTATCTAAGAGACACTTCAAGGAAACTTTGCAAAAGACTCCTCCGTGCAAGTAAGACATTGCATTTTCTAATAAAATCATTAAAAAGTAAAGGGGGAAAAATATAGAAAACCATACCCCCATGAATGGTAAAATTTTCAACAGGAACTGAGCTGGCCACCTTTCCGATATGGACCAAATCTTCTTCAGTCAAGCCGGTAGAAGGACAAGTCATGCTCCGAGGTTGGCCATCCAGAGTGAAGAAACCTGGACATTTAAAGAGGCAAGGAAGACATTCACAGGAGGAACAAGCTCTAGCTAGAACAATTTCTTTAAAAAGATGCTCCTCACTGCCAAATTTCTTTTGAGAAGGTATTTGGCAAATAAACTCTGTCCAATTAAACTACTGGATCATCCTGTCAGAGCATCTGGGAGAAGAACAAAAATTCTTCATCAAGTGCCTCTTAGTTTAATGCAAGCATAGTCTGTTTATTAATAATGCTGACTACCTCTTATGATCTTTGTACAGAATTTTCAGAACTTGGAGTTCTAGGCAAGGACAACTCATGTTTGTGCCAGAAACTGCAAGTGCAAACTATTGGCCAAGTACTATTTTTTCTCCATGGCCATTAGCAAGTAGACAGTAACTTACCAGGCCATGGAGAGTCTAACCAATGCTTGATGTGAAGGATTTTTTCATCCTTGGATCTGGCATGAGCCTCTTCACAGATTTTGTCATACTTGGAAATTTCCTCCTGGAATACAAAAGGAGCATAATGTAGAGGTGACTCCAAGGACAAATATTATCAACACTTTACTCTAAACAAATGCCTTCTCAACCAAAACTGGTACTAGCAATCACTGTAATTTATCTACTGGGCTGGGAATATCAATTTCTGCTTTGTCTATAATGAAGTCAGAGCTTCTGCTGGGGCAAATATGTCCCTATTTATGAAAAGTTGTTTCCAAAGCCAGCAGAGTTGGCTTTCTGAAAGGAAGATATACACATATAAATATAATCATATAACAAGCCAGTTAATATACACAACGGCACATATCAAGTTAAACATGTTTCAATAAACTACACAATATCAGAGAAATGTTATCAGTTGCCATAGAAACATAAGAGATTATTTTACTAATCCTGGCTGTGCACAATGTTCCTGTATGGTGTCATGTATAACATCATTTATAAAATGCCAAAAATCTCTGAAATTATGAAATGCTTGGTACCACAATGGGATGAGGAATATTAAGATATCTAAGCATGGCTGGGCTACAGAATGATTGTTAAGCCATAAATGAAAGTACCTCATATTCTGGTTGATTTACTACTCCTTGTGAAATCAGTGTCTCAGCATACTTCTGGAGCACAGCTTTCTGTTTTCGGATCTGCTTGTACATCAATGGCTGAGTGAACATTGGCTCGTCCATTTCATTATGCCCATTTCGTCTGTAGCACACCTAGCATATTTGAAAGGAAGAAAAATCCTACATATTTATTTTTGACCTAAACAATTCATCTTTCCAAATTAAAAAGAAAGTTTTCAAACTCAGTAATTAGAAGGTAATGCTTGATTGAGAACAAGCATGGGTGTTAAGTGATGGCAAATGAACATAAACAAGATTCCCTGGAATGTTATCAGAAAAGAAAAAATGTTCCAGCTTTGGAAATTTTTACATTCAACTTAAACTTCTCTTTCCACCATTCCACTAAACGCTTTGAAAATGATCCTCAAAGGAGAAGTGGATATGGCAAGCTATTATTTATTTACTAATATAAATACCATTGACTTATACAGACTTCCAGCTCTAAACTATCCTTGTTTTCAACATGTCTATATACCATTTCAGATTCAGATTTTTGCTTTTTAAACTTAACCTCTTCCTCTTGAGGATCTAATGAACTGCATCCAGTCACAATTTTCTTAATGTTCCTCTCAAACCATTAATTTTTCCACTATATATTTGTTCTTCAATTCAACCCTCATGAATTTTCTCTATGTGACCAACCTGGTTTAGCATATTTCTTTTTAACTGATCTGTCACTTAGCATTCATTTAGAGGTAATTTATTCTAGAGTCCCTCTTGTCTGGTTTTGCCACAGACATTTCTCAGGTCCTACATTTCCACTCTTCTCAACTCACTTTCAATTTTCTCTTGACATGCCTCTTGACATCCCCCATTTCTAAATAATGAAGCCCATCAAAGCCCACACGGTTACAAGTAGTCCTCGATTTATGACCATAATTGAGCCCAAAAGTTCTGTTGGTAACTGAAACATTTGTTAAATGAGTTTTGCCCCATTTTACAACTTTTCTTGCCACAGTTGTTAAGTGAATAACTGCATATATTAAGTTAGTAATACGGCTTCCCCATTGATTTTGCTTGTCAGAAAGTCTCAAAAGGAATCACATGACCCAGGGACATTGCAACCATCATAAATATGAGTCAGTTGCCAATCCTCTGAATTTTGATCATGACCATGGGAATGATGCAATGGTTGTAAGTATGAAAAACGGTCACATGTCACTTTTTTCAGTGCTGTTGTAACTTTGAATGGTAACTAAATGAATTGTTGTAAATTGAGGAGTACCTGTATTTTTTTCTGCTTTTAGGAAAATAATACCCACCATCTTTCTGCTATCATTCAACATCTAAATCATTTTTTAAAATATTTCTTAAATAACCTATTATATAGCCCCAACTAAATGTATCAGTACGTCAGAAGAACCAGTACTACCTACCAGATCCACAACTACATCTTTGTGGAAAGTACTTCTCCATTCAGCTGCCACGTTGCACACATATACCACAGCCTCTGGATCATCAGCATTGACATGGAAAATGGGTGCATTAACCACACGAGCCACATCTGTTGGGTATGGGGAAGAACGGGCCATACGAGGATCGGTAGTGAATCCAATCTGAGATGACAACAAAAGCCATTTTAAAAAAATAACTATAACAGTAATACAGACTGTATGAGGACTTAATACATCATCACTAACTCTCAAGTTTTTAGGTGATAAATGGAAAAGTTAGTTAAATATTGAAGGAACGTCTTTTGAGGAATATTCCTTCCTGAGAATGATGTGCATATACAGTATACAAATACAGAGACTTTAACATGAGGCATGGATTTTAAAAGGAAATGTCTCCAATCCTGGTTCTGCCAAGAATAGTCAAAAGATGAAAACAGCACTCAGGATGAGTCAGAGGAGTTAAGAGATGTATACTGGATCTTGGGACGGCTGAACGCCACCACGTTTATTGGACCCGTGTCCCTCCTAGTTGGTGCTGGCTTCCCGGGAGGTTACACGAGGCTAGCTCCAGGGAATTATCAACGCTTCTTTGAGTGAGGGTGTCCTGCCGGCCGCCTTGAAAGAGGCGGTGGTGAGGCCTCTCCTCAAGAAGCCATCCCTGGATCCGGCTGTTTTGGCTAACTATCGTCCAGTCTCCAACCTTCGCTTTATTGCGAAGGTTGTTGAGAGTGTGGTGGCGCGACAGCTTCCCCAGTACCTGGATGAAGCTGTCTATTTGGATCCGCTCCAGTCCGGCTTCAGACCTGGGTACAGCACGGAAACGGCATTGGTCGCGTTGGTGGATGATCTCTGGAGGGCTCGTGATAGGGGTTACTCCTCTATCCTGGTCCTGTTAGACCTCTCAGCGGCTTTTGATACCATCGACCATGGTATCATGTTGCGCCGGCTGGAGGGACTGGGAGTGGGGGGCACTGTTTTGCGGTGGTTCTCCTCCTATCTCTCCGACCGGTCGCAATCCGTGTTGACAGGGGGGCAGCGGTCGACCCCAAGGCGCCTTGTTTGTGGGGTGCCACAAGGGTCGGTCCTCTCGCCCCTCCTGTTCAACATTTATGTGAAGCCACTGGGTGAGATCATCCATGGTTTTGGGGTGGAGTTCCATCAGTACGCTGATGATACTCAGCTGTACATCTCCACCCCAGACCATCCCAACGATGCCTTGGAAGTGATGTCCCAGTGCCTGGAGGCCGTGCGGGTCTGGATGGGGAGAAACAGGCTTCGACTCAACCCTTCCAAGACCGAGTGGCTGTGGCTGCCGGCGTCCCGGTATAGCCAGCTGATGCCATCGCTGGTTATTGGGGGCGAATCACTGGCCCCCACAGAAAGGGCCCGCAACTTGGGCGTCCTCCTGGACGCACGGCTGTCTTTAGAAGGGCATATGACGGCCGTGGCCAGGGGGGCTTTTTATCAGGTTCGCCTGATACGCCAGTTGCGCCCCTTTCTGGATCGGGACTCCCTACGCAGTCACTCAAGCACTCGTCACCTCCCGTCTGGACTATTGTAACGCTCTCTACATGGGGCTCCCCTTGGGATACACCCGGAGGCTCCAGCTGGTGCAGAATGCGGCTGCATGGGGGATTATGGGAGCGACGGGGCGCTCCCACGTGACTCCTCTCCTGCGCAAGCTGCATTGGCTTCCGGTGGACTTCCGGGTGCGCTTCAAGGTGTTGGTGATCACCTTTAAAGCGCTCCATGGCTTAGGGCCAGGGTACTTACGGGACCGCCTTCTGCCACCAATAGCCTCCCACCGGCCAGTTCGCTCCCACAGAGAGGGCCTCCTCAGGGTGCTGTCGGCTAGACAATGCCGGCTGGCGACCCCCAGGAGGAGAGCCTTCTCTGTGGTGGCACCTACCCTTTGGAACAATCTACCCCCAGAGATACGAGTGATCTCTGACCTCCGGACTTTTTGTCGGGCCCTAAAAACTCATCTCTTTCAGTTAGCCGGTCTCTCTTGATTTTATGATTTTATGGTTGATTTTAAATTTTGATATGGATTTTAAATTGATAAATTTTAAACTATGGGCCAAATTTAATTATTTTAAATCTATTTTTAATCGTACTTTATGTATAAATGTTTTATTTTGGCTGCTCACCACCCTGAGTCCGAAAGGAGAAGGGTGGTATAGAAATTTGAATAATAAAATAAATAAATAAAATAAATAATAAATAAAAGTAATTTTGCTGACAATTCTAAAAACCATTCTTTCTGGAAAAGGAAAAAAATTAAACTAGCCTTAATTACATAATTAACATTAATAATTTTTTTCCTCACGATATCCAGGATCCTTTTCTGCTTGGTGAGTCAAAGCTAATCCAGCAATGTTCTATCTTTTGTTTCATTTGTTGCTAGTTTTATACTTGCAGTCTCCTAAGACTTGCAATTTGGCATTTGCACTTCCGTTTGGACAACTTCTTTCTGATTCAAATAGTAGTGAATGTCCTAGAACCCTAAAGCTGTTCTTTCCTATAATCTTCCCAGAAGGCAATAAGTTAAAAGAGAGAAGCCCAAGGCCACTGCTTTCCTGTTCCAAAAGGCTTTTCACCTAGAGCAGTGATGGCGAACCTTTTGCGCATTGTGTGTTAAAAGTCTGCATGCGTGAGCGTTGTTGCGCTCCCGCGTGCCGGCACTCATAATGCAATGCACACCCCCATTTACGCATGCACGCATGCCCTCCATGCTCCTCCTGAGCATGCATCCCGCACTGTGCATGCGTGTCCCCGAACGTGCCCCCCCCCACTTTTCCCAAGAGGGCTGGTGTTCCTCTTACCAGAGGACAACTAGGTACTGGCCCGTTCCCTGGCGAGACAGCCGTTCCCCAGCCAGCGCATGGTGCTGCCAAGATGGCAGGGCCAAGAGTGCTGCCGGGGAAGCTCTGAATGTGTGGCTTGCTTGGGCTCCTTCCCGCTGGGAGCCGTCATTCCCTGGCTGATGACTGCTCTCTCGGCCCCGCTGGGGAAGCTCAGAATGCGCGGCTTGCCTGGGTTCTTCCCTGCTGGGAGCCGCAGGCTGAGCAGGTGCAGCTGGCGGGGCTTTGATGGACCAGTAGCTGGTGAGCTCCAAACACACAGCTTGCCTGGGCTCCTTCCCCCTGGGAGCCGCCGTTCCCTGGCTCAGCGCGGCACCCCCACCCGACCCCCATCACTGCGCTGCCTGCGATTGGGCCCATCACCCGACCCCGTCACATGTGTGGCTGCGCCGCCAGCTGAGCCACTGCTGGGGAAGGAGCAGCAGGTGGGGCAGCCAGCTGCCCAGCCAGCAAATGCTGCCCCAGGCACCTGAGCCGACTGGTCGCTCTTGCCCTTCCCCCTGCAGCCTCCGGCTCCCAGCAGGGAGGAGCCCTAGCAAGCCACGTGTTTAGAGCTTCCCTGTTGGGGCCGAGAGCACTTCTGCAGAGAGCGCCTGCTTCCAAGGAAACGGCTTGGCTACTTCGAAGCGAGCGGCCAGGAAGCTTCCTCGCGAGAGACAGGCAGACAGATGCTGCTCTTGTAGGGGGGAGTGGCACCACACATCTCCCTTTCCCCCTGGCTGATTCCAATCCCGGCTCTGCCACTCCTCAGCCTCTTTCAGAGAGTTTGCTGCTCTCTGCAGCTCAGCACTGTTTTCAATCGGTGACTGAGGCAAGAGTGCACGCAGCATCCGTCTGCCTGTCTCTTGGTGAGGAAGCTTCCCAGAGAGGTGGCCGAAAGCTCTATATGGAGGCCGCCAATCACGAGCCCCAGGGGCGCCTGCTTCCAAGAAAACGGCTCGGCTACTTTGAAGCGAGTGGCCGGGAAGCTTCCTCGCTGAGAGACGGGCAGATGGATGCTGTGCTTGTAGGGGGGAGTGGCACCACATACCTCCCTTTCCCCCTGGCTGACTCCGTTCCCTGCCCTGCCACTCCTCAGCCTCTTTCAGCTCTGGAGTTTGCCGCTCTCCACAGCTCAGTGCTATTTTCAATTGGCGAGTAAGGCAAGAGTGCGCGCAGCATCCATCTGCCTGTCTTTCAGCAAGGAAGCTTCCCGGCCGCTCGCTTCAAAGTAGCCGAGCTGTTCCCTTGGAAGCAGGTGCACCCGGGGCTCATGATTAGTGGCCTCCACATGGTGCTTTCGGCCACCTCTCCCCGGAGCCCCAAGGCATAGCAGGTGCCTGCTCCTCCCTCTCTGTCTCCCGCCTGCCCTCAGCCCTGCACTGAAGTTTGAGAAGCATCGGGGAAAGTTTGTGTGAGGCACTCAGGGCAGGAAAGCAAGCCACCGCTGTCGCTAGCATCATGGTGAGCAGGCCGGCCGGGTTGGAGGACGCCGCCCAACCAGCTCCCTGCTCCTTCAACAGCTCACTTCTTCCCTGGAGAAGGGATGGCGGCATACAGTGGAAGTGCTCTCAGCCCCAACAGAAAAGCTCTGAACGTGCGGCTTGCTTGGGCTCCTCCCTGCTGGGAGCCCCAAGCTGCAGGGGGAAGGACAAGAGCGACCGGACAGCTCAGGTGCCCGAGGCGTCCGGTTTGGCGTGGCGGCGAGACAGTCGGGGAAATAGCGGGCTCTGACAAGCCCCACGAAAACCCTGGCTGCCGAACCGCTGCTGATGGGTCTTCGGACCGGAACCATCCTGCAGGGACAGGGAAGAAAGAGGGGCGCCTCGGACGACTGAGAGGAATAGGCAAGTTCCTCAGAGGGAACCCTCTGTGAATTGGCGGCAGGGGGCGGCAGCCATGGCGGCTGCCACAAAGCTGGGACAACCGGGCTAAGAAAAGTGCTGGAGGAAAGCTGAGTAAAACAGAGCTCTTTGAAGCCAGGTGAGTGACAATAACCCAGGCTTGCAACAACGTTTGGAGCAATATTAATATTTAGAAGACCCCTAGCCTAAAACAGTGGCTATGCAGCCAAGGGGTTTGGAAAATTTTTTAAACTGCAACCTTAAAGAGACAAAGACCCGAGAAACAACTAATTTTGGAGCAGAACTAAGGGAATTAATTATGGAGATATGGTAAAAAGATTAAACATTTAAAACTTGAATCGGATTTAAAAAAAGAAAAGAAAAAAAGATTTGTTACTTTTTAAATTAAAAGAAGAAGAAATAAATTGGATAGTTATATAATAGCAAAATGGAGTCTTGCATGACTAATGGAAAATGTGGATTATAAAGAGACACTATCTGGCCTAAAGAGGAACTTTGTAATTTAGCTTTGTTATGGGAAACTTTGAGCTTTACAGATAAAAGTTACTGGATTTTGTGGAGGAGGATTTTTTCCCTGTCTGCAGGCAGCTTTTGGTGAAAAGAAAAAGAAAAGGAATCTACAACGGAACTGCTACAGTTGAAATAATAATGATTCAAATACTGGCGCAGGAACAGAAGGAGGATTAAGCCCAGGCTCAAAAGAGATTTGATACATTATATCCGGAATAAAAATAAGAAAGAGAATTAACCTGATTTATGGAGAACAAAATTAAAAACTTGGAAAATGGAAGGAAATATACATTTGCAGATGAGGAAATGAAGATAATGTGATCAAAAATAAAATAAAGTAAAAGTGGATTGTAATAATAAAAGGGAGGTTTTTATAGAAATTAAGAATGTTAAAAGGAATTAATAAATATATGTAAAGGTATGTTTGAAGCAAAAATTATGTTTTAATGTTAAAATGTAAGAAAAAGAATAAGGATAAATATGATTAAATGAAAATGTTAAAAGGAATTCATAAATACATCTAAAGATATGTTTTGAGTAAGAACCATGTCTCAATGTTAAAATGTCATGAAATGTTATGAAAAAGGATAAAGATAAATATGATTAAGTGAAAATAAACAATGCATAGATGGATGGAAACAACAAAGAAAGGTTAAGTAGGGATCAATAGTTAAACCAACTATGAATATGCTGTGTTTAACAGTCAAAAAGTAAAAATAGATATGCTGTGTAACAGCCAGAAAACAAAAATGAATATGCTGTCTTGAACAGTCAAACAAAATGGATATGCTGTGTAATAGCCAAAACAAAACTGAATATGCCGGGTAACGGCCAAAAAATAAAAATGAATATGCTGTGCTTAACAGCCAAAATTAAAATGGTTACGCTGCGTTTAACAGCCAAGAAATAAAAATGATTGGTTTAACAACAAAAGTAAAGATAAAAATGCTGGTTTTTCTTAGTAAAATATAAAATGAGATGGGATAATTAAAGTGAGATGTATGTTAAGAGTGATAGTTAAAATAAAATGAATAAGTTAGGTTTAATAATAGTAATAAAGAGTATAAATTTTGAGTTTAATAGTAAAAATAAAATGAGGATGTTGAAATTAAATACTTTAAGAATGTTTATCATAATTGTATGACTTATATTGTTAAAATACATCCATCTAAGCAAATGAAAGAAAAAAAATGGAATTATAATTGGTTAGGAGTTAAGATTTAAGTAATGGGTTTTTGGGGATAATGGCATAGTTAAATAGCAGATCTGAGGGAAATATTTGTGTAAAATATTAAGTTGTGTTAATTGAAAATTAAGATTTGGTAGTGATTGGTATTAATTTGTGACCAGATTGCTAGCTGGGCGGCTGGCTGCCCCGCCCGCTGCTCTTTCCCTGGCGTTGGCTCGACCAGCGGCGCAGCAGCAGGCGTGATGGGGGTCGGGTGATGGGCCCAACCGCAGGCAACACAGTGGTGGGGGTTGGGTGGGGGTGCCGCGCCGAGCCAGGGAACAGCGGCTCCCAGGCAAGCCATGCGTTCAGAGCTTCCCCAGTGGGGCTGAGAGAGCGGCCATCAGCCAGGGAATGGCGGCTCCCAGTGGGGAGATCAGGCCACAGGGTCATCTGTGCAGGCAGCCCACCACCATCACCCCGCCTTCACCGGCTGCTGGTCCAGACTGCCTGAGGCCGCGCAAGAAGCCCGCACGGGCAGGGAGGGAGGGAAGCCCTGGCTTACCTTGCTCTGCTCCCTTTGGAGCAACCACCAGGATCCCCTCTCTGCATCTTTTGGTACGTGTGCCTGTTGGTGTTTGCGCATGCATTCACACCAGAAACCAGACCAGCTGACTGGTGAGCATGCGCACTCTGGAAACAGGAAGATCATCTTCCTGGAGCGCACATGCACAATGGGCAGCTGCTCTTCCGGTTTCCGGCCTGCCGGTGTGCATGAAATCCAGCTGGCTGGCACACCGGAACCCGGAGGAGCAATGGGAGATGGCTCCACGTGCTCGGAGAAATGGCTCTGTGTGCCACTTCCAGCACACATGCCATAGGTTCGCCAACACGGACCTAGAGGAATAAACAGAGCTATCAAGATAGAACTGAAGGAAAATTTCTCAAGGACTACTATGCAAAGGCACATTATAACAATGAGGGTCTCACCAAGGAAAGATAAAAAAGGAATAATAATTGCAGTACAAGATGTAAGACCTTTATTTTATACCTAAGTTTCAGATGGGGTGGTTGTTAATTGGTACAAACAGCAGTATTATCTCTATTACATAAGTTCCATCCCCTCAAATTGCTCTGACAACAAACTAAATTGTCCCCTTCAAGAGGTTTTATCACCCATTAATATCATCATATTAATATCATCATGAATGTAGCATAACGTAGAAATTGATCCCTCAGTTTCATAATCACTGGTATTAAGTTTTCCTAACCATCAGGAAATCAGTTTTCATCTGACAAGTTTAAGTTTTAAGTTTCTCTCTGACCGGTCGCAGTCTGTGTTGACAGGGGGGCAGAGGTCGACCCCAAGGCCCCTTGTATGTGGGGTGCCACAAGGGTCGGTCCTCTCGCCCCTTCTGTTCAACATTTATGTGAAGCCGCTGGGTGAGATCATCCGTGGTTTCGGGGTGAAGTACCACCAGTACGCTGATGATACTCAGCTGTACATCTCCACCCCGGACCACCCCAATGATGCCCTTGAAGTGATGTCCCGGTGCCTGGAGGCCGTGCGGATCTGGATGGGGAGGAACAGACTCAGGCTCAACCCATCCAAGACCGAGTGGCTGTGGTTTCCGACATCCCGATATAGTCAGTTGGTGCCATCACTGACTATTGGGGGCGAGTCACTGGCCCCCACGGAGAGGGTTCGCAACTTGGGTGTCCTCCTGGACTCACGGCTGTCTTTAGAAGAGCACATGACGGCCGTGGCCAGGGGGACTTTTTATCAGGTCCGCCTGATTCGCCAGTTGCGTCCCTTTCTGGATCGGGACTCATTAAATACGGTCACTCATGCTCTCGTTACTTCCCGCTTGGACTACTGCAATGCTCTCTACATGGATCTCCCCTTGAGGAGCACCCGGAGGCTCCAGCTGGTCCAGAATGCGGCCGCGCGGGTGGTTATGGGAGCGACGTGGCGCTCCCATGTGACCCCCCTCCTGCGCGAGCTGCACTGGCTCCCGGTGGTCTTCCGGGTGCGCTTCAAGGTTTTGGTTACCACCTTTAGAGCGCTCCATGGCATCGGACTGGGGTATCTACGAGACCGCCTTCTGCTACCAATAGCCTCTCACCGACCAGTACGCTCCCATAGAGAGGGGCTCCTCAGGGTGCCGTCGGCCAAACAGTGTCGACTGGCGGCCCCCAGGGGGAGAGCCTTCTCTGTGGGGGCACCTACCATCTGGAACGAGCTCCCCCCAGAGATATGGAAGATCCCGGACCTGCGCACGTTTCGCCGTGCTCTCAAAACTTTTCTATTTCAGCAAGCTGGCCTGGCCTAACTCCCATTTTTTAAATTTTTTAAATTTTTTAATTTGTGATTTTATAAATTGGGTGTTTTAATCTGTGTTTCGGCCGAAATATTTAATAATTTTAAGGGATTTTTTTAATATTTGTATTATCTGTATTTTATCTTGGCTGTTCACCACCCTGAGTCCTTCGGGAGTAGGGCGGTATAGAAATTTGATTAATAATAATAATAATAATAATAATAATAATAATAATAATAATAACAACAACAACAACAACAACAACAACAACAACAACAACAACAACACTGAGTTGAATTTGCTTCAGTTTTTATTCTTGATCAACTCGTTGATCCCTTCAAAGTAAATAAACTTAACCAAAACTCTACCTTTAAAGTTCAACTAAGAATACAAACAATAACACAGTTCCTAACCTGTTGCTTGTTCTTGGTAAAATTTAAGTTAGAGAATCTAATATGGTAACAAAAGAACACGTATTTTACCTGATTGTTCACCACCACATGAACTGTCCCATATGTTGTATAGGAAGGCAGGTCACTCAAATGGAAAGTCTCGTAAACAATCCCTTGACCAGCAAAAGCAGCATCTCCATGCAGAAGGATTGACATCACCTTTTTAGATCAGAACATATTAAAGACGTGTTAAATACGGTAACTTTGGAGAATTAGGTGTCAAAGTGGCTGAAAAACGAAGCACCCACAACAGTGTCACTATAAAAAAAGGAAAAAGAATGTCTTCCCTTGGACACCTGCATGTACAAAACAGCAAAGAAAAGCACAAAGGAGAAGCTATCTCATATATGCCAACTTACTTTCTTTCCTTCAGTGTCCCCACAGTAAAATTGTTCTGCCTTTGTTTTGCCTTGAACAACAGGATCAGCAGCCTCCAAATGAGAAGGATTTGCAACCAGTGAAAGAGTGATGGTCCTGTCAGTGACACGGTTAATCCTTCGGTGATACATTCCCAAATGGTACTTTACATCCCCTGAGCCCTGAGAAAAGAGAGTATTATTAGGCAGATATATTTTTTTTCTGTGAATTTTTAGAGCTTCAAAATGGCTACTTTGCAATTTAGAAGAAAATGAACACGTATCCAAAATACGTTCACAATGGAGCAGGGGCAGATTCCAAATCCTATTGCTACCAGTTCGCTCATGCGCACGTGCTTGTGTGGCATTTCTGTGCATGTGCAGATGCATCCAGGACGGTGTGTGGAGCCTCCCGCCACTGCTACCATTTTGCCCAATCTGGTGCGAACCGGTAGCAACCCACCACTGCAATGGAGTCTGAAATTCAAATCGGAATTAAGACAGTAGTGGGGTTCCTATTTGAATTCCTGATACTGGTGTTCACTATTGATAGGATTTATCAGACTAAATCTAACTGGATTAAAATGCAGTATAGAAGAACTGTTACTCAAACTATGAATGGCACAGTATTTATTGCCAGGAATCACATATTTTCATTATTTTTGCACCCAGTTGTTTCTTTAAGTCATCTGATATGGTTTTAGGATTCACCCCTTAAACTCAAGCTGACATGAAAGCACTTTAATGCCATGGGAACCTCATTCCTGACATTCAAGAGCAATCTTGAAAACAACTGGAAAACTGAAGAACTGGAAAAGTGTTAGGGCATATTGTTGAGGACACACTCGACTTTTTTCAGTGGCGGATACAGAAGTTGTCACTGTGTTCAAAACTAAATACAGTGGTCCCTTGGTACTCAACTGCTTTGAAACTCATTGAATTTGGTACTCAATGCATTTTGATGTGAAAACTTTGTCCCAGTACTCATTATTTGCTTGGTACTCAATGTACAAGCTAGAATTTGTCGGTGTCAGCTGCCTTGTGACTCACTATTTCTTATGGGAAAAATCTGTTTGGTACTCATTATTTTTGATACTCATTGCACTACCTGGAACCAATTAATGATGAGTACTGAGGTACCAGTGTACAGTTGTTATTAACTAATATGAAGAAAGTTCCTGTCCCAATAAAATATATAACCCTAGTAAAAGTTGAACTCACTTCATCTGCAGCTTCTAGTTTAGAATCAAACTGGCAGAAAATTTGTTCCAACTCCTTTCTGATAACATTGGCAAGAACATTCAGACGCCCTCTAAAAAACCAAAACCATATTTAGTCAGATACTACATGGAATACATTGTCTAATGTAGGAGAAATAATAATTTTGATTAATAAATTAAATCAAATTTGACTTAAACAAGGTTTCAATTATTACTTTGTATACCTCTTTATGGCAACCCTATGTCCTATCAATATTTGAAAAAAAATGGGCCTTTGGGACTAAAAAAAAAAGAGCAAAATCATAAAAACAAATGACAGGAAGAATACAGCTCAGAATATTTTGACTGAAGGGCAGGTTGAAATTTGGCATACTCTCTCTTGACAGCTTCACTCTCTTCAACCAGTTTCCTCCAAGGACAACTTTACCTGTGAGGCATTCCCATGATAACATAATCCACTCCTTTCTCACTTGACTTGTCAATTATTGTCTTTAAAGCAGGAATCAGAACCTCACAGCCTTCCAAGCCAAACCGTTTCTCAGAAGACCACTTTCTGTGCAGGAACTCCTCAAACCTGGAAGACATAGATGCTGTTTAAAGATACCTGTCACATAATCTGTATGAGTGTCTGGGCTCTTCTGCAAAGTCATGCTAATGTGCATCCCTCCTGTCCTTGTGAGAAGAGTATGTGGATGTAAATCATACTGCTCTTATCTTACTGCATCTCAGGAGTGAGGCTGGGAAGTGTTGCTGCCCTTACAGAATGAAATGTGGAGTAACTTGGAGACACTGATTAGTGGATTCTCTGCTTTCCTTCCTTCTGCCCCCGCCCCAAATGTCACCTATCAGGAGAAAAATTAATTACCATTTGCTCTCCTGAATGCATGTTGGCCTGGGTGACTACTTCAACAAATCCTGTTACTGTCAGGTGCAGATAACCATAGTCTCTCATTAATAGCCAAAGTTAGTAACTTTATTGTTTGCCACACATTACAAGAATTTTACCAGACCGCTTTCCTTACTCTGGAATGACCAGATAGGCTTCATGGATCTTGGAAGAGGTCAAGATTATGGTACTTGCGGCTGTACATGACTCCAAGCTAGGCTCTCGCTTGACCCCTCCTTCCAGCCTAGATGGCAGTTTCCCAATAGTTACCCATCTTTGCTCGTTATGTAAGAGAAGTTCTATATTGCCAATTGAAAGATTAGCCACTGTTTCAAGAGTGATCAAGAGTGATGGAAACTGCAGTCTAAACATATATGGAGAATATTTTCCATGAGATACAAGTTTTCACAAATGTCATTACTGACACTTTGTGGGGTTATAAATATGGCTAGGGTGGAATGTTTACATCTCAATTTACTGAAGGTGTTATGTCCTTGTGTCTATGAAATATGAACAAGGAAACCTTAAAACTGAACCTACCATAATCTTCTACTACTGGTACCTGTAATTTCAACCAATGACAGTTATGCAAATTAATGAAAAAGAAATACCTGGTTGAACGCACTAGTCTGGCCAGCAGGGTGCGCTTCTCCTCACTGGAGAATTGCATGATACCAGGTGTTTCAAATTTCTGCCTTATCCACTGACATTGTTCAAGATCATTAATAAACATGAATTCTACTCCAATGTGCTGACAGTAAGCCATCTGTTAAAGAAAGGAAATATGCAAGTTGGAGCAGAAGATTCAACCATTTCCAAGCACAAATTAAAAGCTTACTTTATGTGAGCTATGTCTTAATCTTATTCATAAGTTTTTCTCTTTCTGAAAACCAAGTTAATACAGCGACGATTAAGTCAATATGGAAAGTCTAAGCCAGTTAATGGAGTTTCAGATAAAGCAGGATTTCAGTCCAAGTGCTGACAAATCAAATCCAACAAATTACGCACTAGTTAGACATTGTATTATTCTTGAAAAATGTAAATAATCAAGATTTGGCCACCGAAGACTGTTTGCACAATTCTATTCAATTATAAAACAGAAAGTTACATTTAGTTATAAAATGAAAAGTTAGTTATTTCCAAGTTCTTCAATTAACAGTGGACAACAGGGGATCATTAAGTGGAAAGATCAGATGCAACAGTCAATTTTTCCTAGGAAAATATTATTAGCTTTGGATTTACGTAAGCAACATGCTGCAGCATCAAACATTGATATGCTTTGGAAGAGGTCTGGTTTACATGAGACACTGGGAAAGAGATGGTTTGAAATGTGTAGGAACATAGCTGTGGCATTTCTTTAAAAAGAGCCATGTGTTTCTCTTTCTTTAGTACTCTAGCTAAAAATTACCTGAAAAGAACTTGGCTGCTTTAAGGGGCTGACTTATTAAAGAAGCTGTACTTTAATGAGAATGGCCTGCTCTGTTTTCAAGCTTATGAGGAATCTGGAAAAAAGTTGTAGTTGCTTTAAAAAGGCATATTTCAATATTTTCCAAAGCACCTCTTTTTAATCATTTTCAAAGCAAGCACAGTTCTGCTGTCCAGTGCACTCTATAATCTGAATACTTGCTAAAATCAAAAAAAGATAAACCTAGGTGAAAAATGTTTCTTGAAGTCAGGAATTTGAAAACAACTGAATTTACACTCAAGGTAATGGAAAATACTGTGCCAGGGAGGGGTAGAGACAGAGAAGTAGAGAATGTTTGGCAAGAAATGGCATTTAAATAACCTTGCTGGAAATTATTTTTAGCCAGGGTTGTGACGCCGAGAACATGAGCAGGGCACAGAGAATTATTCCCTTCATCAGAAAGTACTGCTACTTAATAAAAGACAGAAATTAGAAACTGGCTTATCGGGAAGGAGAGAACAACTCCAAAACCCAGAATAAATGGGAAGCAGGGCCAGGGAAAAAGCACTGCTAATGAGGTAGCTGAAGTTTTGTTTCTACAGAAGGCAAATACAGCAGAGTCCTTAAAGGAGTTAAAATGACTTTGAGATACTGTATTTTTTTTCTTTCCAATTCCATTTCCTTCTTCTTTTAGTTTTTTTAGTCAGCAACAGCTTTTTTTTGTTTTTTTGTTTATCAGAGTCACCCATTATTGTCAAAGGAAATTATGTGACTGCCAAGAAACAAAGGAAGAAAAGTGCTTCCTTTGGAAATGACCATTTTAAACTTTCATGTGAGCGTTTTTCCACAATGCATCCTTTTTTAGAATAGAGAACTCACTAGAACAGCTTTGCTCTTTCCTGATTGTTTTTGAGGATATGGGGAAACCACATTACAGTTTTTATTTTACAGATTTCTAAAATAGTGACTGGGCTTGCACAACATGAAAGCTAAAATGGGTCTTGGGCAGGGGTGAAATCCTACCGGTTCGGATGGGTTCAGGCGAACTGGTAGGGATGATTGGCATCGGTTTGCCGAACCGGTAGCAATCATCCCCACTGGCCACATCCACGCCCACCCGATTGCCTCTTCACTTGCTGCTCCTGGCCGCTCGGCGTTTCCGGCTGCTCGGCCCATCTACCCACTCCCGCCCTATATAAGTTCCCTTTACCATACGGCCCAGCTACTTGCCTCGCCTGCTCAGCTCACCAAAGGTATGCAATGCATGCCTCCTGCTCACCCTTTGCCTTGGGTTGGGGCCCAGGATCCAGGGACATGTGATTCCCTGAGGCCCCGGAACTGCCGCCTGCTTGCTGCCCGCCTCGACCTGGTCAGGGAATATACCATTCCCTGGCTCCGGCGCTACCCTAGAGCCGCCACCCACCTTGACCAGGTCAGGGAATGCATCATTCCCTGGCTCTGGCCTTGCCCTGGAGCTGCTGCCCGCTCACTGCCCGCTCTCCCTTTGCCATGTGACGCATCCTTACCTTGCTCCCATGGCTGGCTGCCAGGAAAGGCAAGCCAGGGCTGAGCTGTCGCCGCTGTGAGATGCCTGCAACCGTAGGCTCTTTTTTTTTTTTGTGACTGGAGGCGCTTCTTGTGCCGAAAGATACAGCGGCTGCAGGCTTCTTGTAGCAAAAGTTACCAGAGCCGCTCCCCTTCTTAAACGCGTTGCTGCCATCGCTGCCCTGTTCCATGTGCTGGCCACACATGCACACACCATTTATTTATTTGTCATTCATCAGTGGCAGCATGCAACGGTGTCCGCATGCGCGGCTGGTGCATGGAACAGGGCGATGATGGCAGCAGCGTATTTAAGAAGGGGAGTGGCTCTGGTAACTTTTGCTAACAAGAAGCCTGCAGCCGCTGCATCTTTTGGCACAAGAAGCGCTTCCAGGCGCACCGAAAAAAAGAGGCTGTAGCTGCAGGCATCTTGGGGCAGATGAAAATAGGTAGAATAGAAGTTAAAAAATCTTTCCTACCAGGTTCTGTGGGCGTGGCTTAGGGGTGTCATATGATTGAATGGGTGTGGCTGTGAGTGACATTGAGTTGACCATGCCCACTCAGTCACAGGAAACCCCCCCCAAGCCATGCCCACAGAACCAGTAGGGAAAATTTTTAGATTTCACCATTGGTCTTGGCTATTTGTGTTTCAGAGTAGTAGTTAGTTAGTAGCCAGTTAGTTCAGCCCATTTATAGTTCAGTGTTTAGGAATTCAGGCAATTGGGATCATTTGGTAAACCATGGTTAATTATGCAGCAAAATGTTGTACAAATATGGCTACCTAATTTGATAATGGGTATCAAGTTGCCTCACAATTTATTTCCCTAAAATAGATTCTTAAGTTTAAGATTATACATGATATGATTATACATGTTTCCATAAGCTAAAATATTCTTTTGTTCATATCAAAGCTTGCAGGTCTTCTCTATGGTAGTCTGATGATGTCCACCCTACAGAACAATCTTCCTCCTATATTATGTAAAAGGGGCATTGGTCCTACCTGAGACGCACCTTCTCGTTGGGTGGAGACAGCAGCCAGGATGGGTGTGCTCGTCTGCTAAACCGATAGACTGAGCCTGTCAAAGTTGCTAAGTCCCGTCCTTGTTACTGGGCAGACCCAGCTTTTGGCGAAGACGAGAAGACAGGCTCAGCGTGTGGGACACCAGATCAGGAGAGAGAAAGTATACAGGAGACAGAGACCAGACTGGGCAAGGGAGGGTCTGGCTGCTGTCTCCACCCAATGAGAAGGTGCGTCTCAGGTAGGACCAACGCCCCTTCTCCATTGTGGGTGGAGACAGCAGCTAGGATGGGACATACCAAAGATTCATGTCCCTACTATCGGGCGGGACCAGGCTGGTCCGAAATACCCTTCCCTGACACAACCCGCTGTAGCACCCTACGACCGAAAGCGGCATCTGCCGACGCAAACTTGTCCAGTTTATAGTGCAGGATGAACGGAGAGGGTGAAGTCCACGTAGCCGCCCTGCAGATTTCAAGTAATGAGGCCTGAGTGGCTCAGGCCGCCGAAGTCACTGCGCTGCGGGTAGAATGCGCCGTCAGTCGAGGAGGTCTCGGAAGGGAGCGTAGTTCGTAGGCCTTGGCGATCGTCTGGCGGATCCAACGTCCGATGGTCATCGACAATACCTTACTGCCCAAGGAAATCGGCAAGAAGGAAACAAAGAGCGATTCTGTCCGGCGGAAGACCGCCGTTCGTTTAATGTAGATTCGCAGTGCCCGTCGGACATCCAGAGAGTGCCACCGCCGCTCGAGCCTATGGGTTGGGCGAGGGCAGAAGTTGGGCAGGACAAGCTCCTGCATACAGTGAAAGGTGGTATTAACCTTCGGCAGAAAGGTTGGGTTCAGACGGAGAACAACACAGAGGTCCTCCCGGATGGAGAGGGCTGCCATCTCCGAGATGCGGCGAGCCAAAGTAATTGCAACCAAAAAGGCAACTTTGCACGTTAAAAGCCGAAGACTGGTTGACCGCAAAGGCTCGTATGGAGCAGTCGTGAGCGAGTTAAGAACAATGGATAGATCCCAAGTTGGGTATCTATGTAGAACAGGAGGGCGGAGATTTGTGGCACCTCGCAGGAAACGGTGAATCAAAGGATGCTGGGCCAGAGAGGATAGTGATCCAAAGGAAAGAATTGACGAGATTGCCGCTACCTGTCGTCGCAATGTGTTGGGAGAAAGCCCTTTGGCAAGGCCCTCCTGTAAGAAAACTAGGATATTGACGATCGAGGCTCGAAGGGGTGGAACCCCGTTCCGCTGACACCATGCACAAAAGGCCCGCCAGGTAGCCGAGTAAAGGTATGGATCCCATCTGCAGGAATGTTGACCTCCCCTAGGACACACCGCTCAACCGCCAAGCGGTCAGACGTAGCCACTGCAAGTCCAGATGTTTCACGGCCCCCTGAGTCAGTGCGTCCTCCGGTTGAAGAAGCTGCCAAGATGGGGCTATTGATAGAGACACTAGGTCCGCAAACCAGGGTCTGCGTGGCCAATGTGGGGCCACAAGTATGATTTCTGCTCGTTCCAGCAACAATTTGCGGATCACTCGGGGAATCAGAGAGACTGGAGGAAAGGCATATAGGAGCCCCGGGGGCCACGGGGAACGGAGGGCGTCGATGGCCTCTGCATGAGGTGATGGGTACCGCGAGATGAAACGCGGCAGTTGAGCATTGTCCAATGTGGCAAAAAGGTCGACCACCGGAGTTCTGAAGCGTGTCATGATTTGACGAAAAATGAGCGGGTGGAGACGCCATTCCGCATGGTCCAGTCGCTGACGACTTAGCCAGTCTGCTTGAAGATTGGTAATGCCGGCAATGTGTTCCGCACGCAACGAGGCGAGGTGAAGCTCTGACCAGAGACCCAACCGCAACGCCTCCGACATCAGGGAGAGAGACCGTGTACCCCCCTGACGATTCACATGGCCTTCACTGTGACATTGTCCGTCAGGACCAAGACGTGGGAACTGGCTACGAGATGATGGAAGGCTCGAAATGCCAGGTAGATCGCCCGCAGTTCCAGCCAGTTGATGGGATGATGGGATTCGGCGCTGGTCCAGGTGCCCTGAGTAACTTGGCCCAGACAATGAGCCCCCCATCCCTGAAGGCTGGCGTCCGTTGTCACCACTATTCTCTGTGGGTCGAAAAAGAGACAACCTCGAGAAAGAGCCTGAGAGCGCCACCACCTCAACGACCTGATCACCTTTCTGGGGACGGGAACGGTCACGTGAGAAGTGCCCCTGCCCGCCTTCTGTAAGGGCAAAAGGAACCACTGAAGCTCCCTTGAATGCAGCTTGGCCCAGGGAACAATGGAGATGGCGGATATCATTTTTCCCAGGAGCTGGGACAGGACAAGGGGAGATACAGACCTAGACTGTTCAACTATAGAAACCAGGGATCTCAAACTATCCTGTCGCTCACTCGATAGGTAGACCCGTCCTGCCACCGAATCTATCAGAGCCCCCAGATGGACCAAACGAGTAGAAGGGACTAAATGGCTCTTCTCCAAATTAACGGAGAAGCCATGAGCAGCCAGAGTCTGGAGTGTAAGTTGCAGGTCTGAAGAGGCATGCTGATGGGTGGAAGACAAAATTAAAATATCGTCTAAATAGCATAGTAGACGAACAGATTTAGTTCTAAGGGAAGCTGCCAAGGCAGCCAGTACCTTGGTAAAGGTACGAGGGGCCGACGAAAGGCCAAAAGGTAAAGCCCGATACTGGTAATGGCGCCCCCCGTAGCAGAACCTAAGGAACCTCCTGTGGGAGGGGAGGATGGGGATATGTAGACAGGCCTCAGTGAGGTCTATAGAGGAGAGGAGATCGCCCCTCCGAACACCATCAAGGATGGATTTCAACGACTGCATCTTAAACTTACGGTACACAACATACCGGTTGAGACGTTTAAGGTCCAGAATAGGTCTCCACTCCCCCGAAGACTTTGGAACAAGAAAGACACGGGAATAAAAGCCCGTGCCTTGCTCAATCTCGGGCACGGGTTGAATGGCCCGGATAGAAAGGAGATGCTGAACCGCCGAGTCCATAAGGGACCGTTTCCGGATGTCATTGGAGAGCGGACAGCGCACAAAGAACCTCGGAGGGGGAGGAGAGAAATTCAATGGCCAAACCAGATCGAAGGGTGGCCAGAACCCATTTATCTGAAGTGGTACCTTCCCAAACAGGGGCGAAAAGGGCCAATCTGCCCCCAATGGGAGGACCCGGGATGCAGTTAGTGACGGCGTCTGGAGAAACGACCTCCTTCCCCTCGAAAGGGCCGTTTGGAAACAAATGTCCTACCTCTGGGCGCCCTGTCTTGAACGCCCCACTGCCTAGGCTGAAAACCCCCGTGCGGCCTAGCAGAAGGAACAGAAAAAGAGGACCCCTCGTAGGGACGAACCTGTGGACGGTACGAGTAAGGATAGAACCTTGCATCACCTCTACGGAAGACCGCCTGAAGGACTTTCTTTTTGTCCTTGGTCTCCGTGAGGAAGGCATCGAGAGGGTCCCCGAAGAGCTTGGAACCAGAAAAGGGGACTGACGCCAGACGCCATTTATGCCTGGCATCAGCTTGCCAGTAGCGAAGCCAGACTAGATGCCGGGCGGTAACAGAAGAGGCGAGGGACTTGGCCGCAAAGCGGGCGGCATTAAGGGAGTCGTCCGCCGAGAACTGTGTGGCAGCGATGATCTTATTCAGTTCCTGTCGGACACGAACATCCTCAGTGGCCAAAGTGTTTTGCAAATGATGAAGCCAAAGAAGCGTCATCCGGTTGAAGAACGACGCAGTAGATGCTACACGGATGGCCCAGGCGGCCCCTTGATGTGCTCGTTGCAAAACCTGCTCCGCCCGACGCTCTTCAGGACGGAGGCTTTCATCTGAAGTTCCAGGAACCGGGGCGTGCGGCAAGAGGGCGGCCACTGGAACATCGACGGATGGAACCTGGAGAAGGTCTGCCAGATCCGGAGCCATGCAGTAGTTCCGTCGGTCCATAGAGGTGGGACTGATGCAGGAGAGGACCATTGCTTCTGGATGACCTCAAGAAACAAAGTGGGGGAGGGATTATGTCCACAGGCTTGGATGGTTCGGCAAAGAGTGAATTCAGAGCCCTTTGAGAGGTCGTAGGGACAGGCTGTGCCGAGGCCGGGGATCCCAGTTGAGCCGTGAGGACGGCCTTGTGCAGTAAAGATTTGAATAAAGCTTGGGGAAAAAGGCCCGTAAAGGCAGGCTGGTCTGGAGGAAGGCCCTCATCCTCTGACAGATCCAATTCATGAGAAACTTCCTCGGCCAGTGACGAAGCATGACTCGAAACAGACGCAACGGGAGAATCCGGGGCATCTATGGAAAGAATGTCGTCTTGTAAGACATCCACCCGAGAGGTAGAGAGGCCGGAGCGGATAGATGCAGCTCTGCTGACGGGCCCAACTTGGGATGCCAAGGACTGTTGCACCGCTGTGGCAATCCATCGATGAATTTGTTGTGGTGAGATGAAATCATGCTTTTGTGCCGCACCAGAGTCGGATACAGTTGGGGGAGGAGCTGAAACTGACCCAGATGAAACGGGCAACGCGGGAGGAGGCATGCCAGAAGACGTTGCCGGAACAGGGTCCGAAACAGCGGCGACACCCCACAGAGCGTCGGGTTGAATCACTGCAGGGCAGTCCTGGAGGGAAAGTTGATCCACTTGAACCCCAGGGGCAGCTGTTGATGTAGCCTGTGGAGAGACCGTAGTCATCTCCTTGAGTGATTGCTGATGCCCGCTGGCCTTGGCACATAGTTTTTGTAGTACTTTATTCCGGCGAACCTCTGCACGAGAAGAGCGAGTGAGAGGAGGATTTGTGATGGGGCCTAGCAAGGGAACCAGAAGACACCCCCTTATTGGCAGAAGAGGCCCCTAAATGCGGTGGATCCTCCGGGCGCCCTGCTTTGTGGCAATGCTTCGATTTATGCGAAGCCTTGGGCATGGTTGTGGACAGAGAGCAGAAAGTTATTAATCAGCCCAGAAGGCACAGGGTAACCTGGAGGCCTCAAACAATAATACCATGGCAAAGGTGAGAAGGTTTAGGAGCTGGAAACAAGCCAAATCCGCCCAAAAACGGGAGCGCAGACAACTCCACTTGAAATAAGCAGGCACAGGGCTGTAGCAATCCAAATTCGCCTTTTGACAGCAGCGGGCATGAAGCACAATTAAAGATGGGAGGGGGGCGCGAAGCTTCACCAACGCGAACCACCGAAATGGAAGAAACGGCTGTGCTGACAAGACAAGGGGGCGCTTAAAACCCCTCCAAGCCGTATATAATGCTGCTGATTGGATTCAAGGCTACAAAAATGGGGCGCTGCAGCGCGCTGACAGGAATTTCAAATGGCAGCCGACAAGCGGCTAAGCAGTTTTCGCGCCCTTTTCGGGCGACGCAGCAGCCAAGAGGAATGGCTAGACAGATTTTAACACAAAGCTGTCGTTTCCGAAGGGCAGCTGGAAGGCACTCTTCACAAACAATAGTTGGGGGCGCGAGGCTCCACTAGACGGCTCCGAAAGGCAAGGGAGAAAAAAGAAGCCGAAAATCAAGCCGATTAAAATGGGCTGCAAATGGCCGCCAGGCGAGAGTGAGGGGAGCGCGAAAACTCCGCAATTGCCAATCCGCCCCAGAAACTTGGGAAAAAACGGGAGCGTGAAACTCCACCAGCCCCTCAAAGAAACTTGGTCAAAAAAAGAGAAAGGGGGTCCCAGGAAAAGGCAACAGCCCCCCCCCCAGATAACCAGCAAGCTAGTTACAGGGGGAAGACTTACTGTAAACTGAGAGTCACGGAAATCCAGTAACAATCCAGAGTCAAGCCAATAAAATCCACGATAGAGTAAGATGAAATCTAAGTCCAAAGAAGTCCAGTAACAATCCAAGTCAAAACCAACAAAGCCAACCATAAAATGCGATCAGAAAGGATAGAAATAGCAAGAGAAACAGTCCCACACGCCTGTCTAGGCTGACAGACTGAGCCAAAAGCTGGGGCTGCCCAGTAACAAGGGCGGGACTTAGCAACTTTGACAGGCTCAGTCTATCAGCTTAGCAGACGAGCACACCCATCCTGGCTGCTGTCTCCACCCACAATGGAGAATTGCAGTGCTGGCATATTCTTTGATTTTCTAGTTACTATAAAATTATTTCTTATTATTATTCCCTGATTCCTGATTATTTTACTGGATTGTTTACATCCACGTGATCCCCAAAATACTTAGCTGGCTTTCTTACCTCCAAACGGCGGATTATTTCCCGAAGTGGAAGAGCGGACTCATTTCCTCCAATGAAAGTTGTAGTTGGCAAGTGAAAGACTTTGTCGAGGTCCGATTCATCCAGGCCATAAAACCCTGCAGGATTTTGCATAGGTAGCAGAAGGCAAAGGAGGATTGGAGAAGGTGTTCAGTTCAAGACAGTCGTTACACAGGAACCAGGTTTTTGGTAGAGACGGGGAGGGACAAGAAAAGCAGCAAAAAGTAAGCATGAAGGAGGTTTGTATGAACAAAACACAAGCGGGAATTAAAATATTGGACAGGTAAAGTGAGAACAAAAGAAGTGTAAAAGTGCTTATGAACATAAGCAATATACTTGCCACAAAAAATTGGTAATTAAACCCAGGGAAGTGATTAACACGGAATTTAGACCTCCACACATACATTTGTAGAACATAAGGAGTACAAGTACAGCAAACACATATTCCCACCACATTCCACCACATATTCAAAATTAAAAAAAACTGAAGCAAGAAATGAAGAATTAAAGGACCAATTTCCCAGAACCAAAAGTATGAAAAGCCGCAGGATGATACAGGGTTCTGCAGAGGACTCTCCAGAATAGCTCACTACAAGGAACAAGGATTTTATATTGAAATGGTCTCTTATGTAGAAAAAACTCTTTCTACAAGCCTCACCAATACTTTGACTTCTGGAAATCTTGAAAGTATTGAAGACCTATTACCAAACATTCCTTTCCACACTGGCTACATATATTATGTAGCTAGACTATAACAGGACTAACATTAATATATTTTTGCATCAGATGCTGGAATAAGAGTCTTGGTGGTGCAGCGGACTAAGTGCTGTTATGTAGCACTTAGCTGCCTGCAATTAGTGCGAGTTCAAATCTCACCAGGCTCAAGGTTGACTCAGCCTTCCATCCTTCTGAGGTAGGTAAATTGAGGACCCAGACTGTTGGGGGCAATAAGCTGACTTTGTAGAAACACCGCTTATGGGGGGCAAAAGCCCTAATAAGCAGGTATATACAAAAGAATGAAGGCTATTGCTATAGTGCATTGTAAGCCGCCCTGAGTCTTCGGAGAAGGGCGGCATATAAATTGAAATAATAAATAAATAAAATACTTAAAAATTGTCTGCAGTTGATGATCAGATAGCTTTCAAAGCTGGAAAGATGACAAAAATGGAAACTTTCAGAAGTGCCAATTCTGTACTGCAGCCTAATGAGAACAGGCAACTACTATAGAGAAGTTTTGAAATTATCCCTCACCTTCCCTTCAACTAAATGCTAAACCCAAAACTACGAAGGATAAATCAAACAGAGTAACTAAATTATCACAAAATACAAAAGAAACTAGAAAAAAGATCCTCAGTTATATAAAAGGCCAAAATCATTTAAAGGCCAAATTCCTGATGGAGGAAAATTAACAACCAGAAGACGGCTGGTAAAGCTACTGGATTGCTAGAAGTGATATAGGACTCCTGGACAGCAAATTCCATAACTTGATTGTTATATCAAGAAAACTTTACCCCCTCGATTTCTACCAACCATGCATCAGATGCAGCAGGACACAATGGACCTCAATGCCTGATGAAATATTGTGTAGGAGGCAATTCCATTCTTCTCATTTTAACAAGATTACAAACTTTTGAAACAGATCAAGGAAAAAGAAATTTATATGATATAGGGCTATCACAAAGAAAAGACACTCTATTCTTGTTTTAATATTGTTTGGCACACATGTTTATTCAGTTATACAAATCTGTGGCCATCAATGATGCAGAATGATGGCAAAGAAAATAGGAGACCAATGTAATAGGTATACTGTAGAAAAGCAATGCTTGGCTGATTAATTCAGTACCTTAAGTAGAGAATGGCTTGTTTTTAAAGTAGACATTTTGGGTCCAAATCTATATTCAGCTACTTAGGACTCATGAATAAAAGATGAGATAGACATCTACTGTAATAATTGTATTGTAGATAATTGGCCTGAAAAAGCCAAAAGTCATTCTTATTCTCAGGCTAAAATACAATTATATTGTGAAATGCGATTGGAAGAGTTGTTTATTATAGGCATCAAATCTGTACAAATGATAGAGAATTTTCTCAGGGTTAAGCATATAGCCATTGCAATCAGACACTCAGATAAACTGCTGAATTGCGTTTACATTATAAATCATTGTTCCTTTCAATCATTAGATTAAAAAGTACACATTTTCAGTTAGACGTTTATAATTAAAGTGCTCAGCTATTCTGCAAAAAACCAGAACAAGCTTATGAAAAGATGGCACTTCATTTTTCTTTTAGCAATGCAGATGCAGTTGTGAACAACTCACATCCTAAATTTCACTATCCACAAAGGACTTTCTGCACAAAAGAACACAAAACTCAGCTAATATACCTCAACCAATTTGATATGTGTTCTGATGAACATCCAGTTAACAATTACATTTCAACAGAGACCAATGTGTTAAAGCACAACAAAGCTTTCTGAACTATTCCAAATAAGTAAACAGAAAGCAAATAAAGAGAAAATAGCTACCACATTGAACACAATGAAAAAGAACATAATTGAGGTGTGTGACTGATGAAGCACTTTGATCACACACATTTCTCTGACTGTTAACACTGAAAGCGATTCTGACGGGAAAACAAAAGACCAAAAACACTGCTGTAAAACAGAGCAAGTTGTAACTTTTACCTACACTGTACATGCCCAGAGTCAACTATTCAGAGAGTCCTAAACTCCAGAAGGGTTAAACGCTCATTATTTGCATACCTCCTACTGTTAGCACTCTCAGCCGCTCCTTGAATACAGCAAGATCTGGGGAGGGAGGGAAAGGTCAGGTGCAGAAAGGAGAAGACAGAGAAACTGAGTCAAAGTTAGTTTCTTTTTAAATTCCGAAGAACTGAGAAAGTAGTTGCAAAAAGAGAAAGTAAGCTTTTAAAAACAACATCCGCACATACACAATAAAAAAAAAAAATCACCAAAGAAAAGGGGGTTAAATGACTGTATGCCAGGAGAAAATCTGAAGAATCTTTCAGAACCAGCTATATTGACTGCAAAGAGAATAAAATAAGCACAGCAATTACACCTGAGAGATAATGGCAGTTAAGTTACATGTTTCGGACTTCATTGCTTATGCAAATAGAACAAAAATCCTAAACATTGAAGTTGTTAAATATCCTTAAGACAGGTTTCTGGTCAAAAATCACAAGTGAACAAGTATGACAGAATCGTGTACCCCTTCTACATGAGACTGTTGTGATTTAAGATTTTGTAGATCACTGCACTGGCAAGGAATAAGATAGCATAGGATTCATACACTTTATACTAACATATCCTGTGCTATAGAATTGAACTGAAAAGTAACAAAGATTAGGAAAAGTTACAGTCTTGTTTATGTACCTGAACCTTAAGTTAACAATCTATGCAAGGACAATTTTAGTTTTCCTATTCTTATCTATAATTTGTTTATATGAGAATCACAGTTCAACTGAAAACAAGTTTATATCTTTGACTCTATAAATACATAGAATTATTACTCTTCTAGATGGTCTCTGCACAAGAGAGAATTCAATTCTCAGACAAGATCTTCAACAATAATTTTATTGCATGTAGCCTGCAAATATAATACATTACTTTCGCTTGGATTTCTTCATAATAATATAGTAGAATCCCCCCCCCCCCCGCAAATGTTTTGTATTCTGCAAATTTACATTTAAAAAGTGCTGGACAAATGAATAGATGAAAAGATTCAACAGCTACTAGGGTTGTAACAGTGGTGGGTTGTTACCCTGGTAGCAGCCTGGTAGTGGCGGTGGGAGGCTCCACCCACCTGCCCGGACGTCTCTGAGCATGCGCAGAAGCTTCTGCGCATGTGCAAAAGTGTTGCGCGCGTACACGTGCCTATGAGCAAACCAGTAGCAATGGGATTTGAAACACACTACTGGGTTGTAACCTTTAATACCAGTATCAGATATAGTGTATATAAGTTATTAGGAAGAGGTTTTATTTTGCTCTTGGTGTCTAACTGGTCTTGAGATTAGGGCAAAAATCCTATTACATTTTTTAGAAAAGGATATGGTGTTGCATAGAACTTGCTTTTTGTCCAATGCATATCTCATCCTGCCTTTTCACTGCCTTTTCACAACTATGTTGGAGACATGCCATTTCAGTTCCAAATGATTCAGCTAATTATGTGGTTTTTTAAATAAGTGTATATAGAATCCTAGAAGTTCTGGATGACTTGCAATATTATATGTTCTGCATTGTCTAACAGAACAAGCAAAAAGGTTGAAGTCCTCAAACCCCTTTTAAATTAATATTATTGAGATTTTAAAAGATTGGGCAATTAGGAGTTTCCTAAGAATAACTCTCCCAAAGCATGTGTCATGGGAATAGAATAATGTTTATAAAATGGTGAAAGGAATTTAAATTATGATTCATCAAAATGATTATATGTCATTTTTGGAATCTTAGTTTTTGTGGTATGGTCCCAAAATTTTAAATCCCACATTTAGAAGCAGAGAACTTCAGAGGCCTCTGGGTTTTTCTGCTTACTTGGCTATGAGATGTCTTCCTCACATTCTCCCAAGTATCACTTCAACTCTCAATCCATTACATATGGTAAGAGCAGGGGCAATTACATTAACCTTGTTTTAAGAGGTTCTGATTTGTTCTGATTTGTTCTGAAGTTACAGACTACTTTATCCTCAGTTTGGCATTCTTCATATATGTTGGAATTTGATTCCTAGAATCCCGCACAATCACTGCGCTGCCTAGAGAATTATGGGAGTGGAAATCCATATATCTGGAGGGTGTTTTGGCTAGACAATGCTCTTTCAGATTAAAATGAAAATAAAGTGTGGAAAAGGGTCAAAGTGAATATGATTTTGTCTATTGTTTTTAGATAATAGAAACTTAGCTTCATTCTAAAACTATTGACCAGGATATTAGTTTCAAAGACATTGCACATCTCTTCAATAAACAATATCAGCCGTTTGAAAGTTACAGAGACAAGAGCAACCCTTATTTGAATCTTCCTGAACTAAAGTATATATCTATCAGCTACCTAGCTACCAATTATGAATGGCATCCACCATTCATGCAGTTTTCTTGTTCTGAATGTGTGCATATGGTTTCAAGCAAAGAATTTGCCTTAATTCATAAATATGTGGCAGTGGAATGTTGTAAAGAACAGAAAGAATGGCCTTGAAGACAGGATGAAGAATTGCTTTCAAGGCAACAATGATGTAAAAGGGGCCTGAGCCTGGTCAAGAAAGTAACTTGAGAAAATGACTAAGAGAAGCCCTTCCTTAGTTCACATGGGGATAAAGAGAGGGAGAGGGAACTATATTCAGGTCTGCAAGATTCTGTTATTATAGCTGTTATAACAAAAGCAGTACTGATCAACATGGTGTTACTTTCTTTGTTTGGTCTGCCTTGTAGGGATGACAATAACTACTATGCATGGAGCCCATGCTACTTATTTATACTTTATACAATGTATTTATATAATACACTGGTAAAATAAATAAAATACAATCCTCACATTTTTTAAATCATCTTCTATATTGTTCAATTTTTATTCAGAAAAAAATCATAATTTCTACATTCTAATAAAACATTCATGTAACAATTTCAACCATTCAGTAGATTTGACAGAAGACAAAGGTAATGCACAGATGAAACCACTTGAAGTATCCATTACACACACATGCACACACACACACAATTCAGAAGCCATCATCATTCCAGTGCACTCAAAATAGTTATGCCTGTCTAAGGTGAATCTTCAATCTTTGTGAAATGTGGAAGGAATTCCACAGTATATCTCCTCCCCACAATATTGAGGTTTTGTTAAGGCCTGGTACAGCCTTCTGAGTTTTGGAGTTCTGCTTAATATGGAGATTTAGTAAAGCAAACTGCACTTAATGTGTTCTTAGATATTCACCAAAGTTATATTGCTGTTTTATTTAATTATATTCATTTAAAATATTTATATAGTACCTCATCTTTCAACCAACTCTGGTTTTCTCAGATACTTTCCATTTCACCGATATACACATACACCATCTAGTTGGTACACACTGCCAATTCTGAATGGGTCACATCATTTATTTTACATGCACAAATACTCTAATCAAAATTTAATCTCGAAAGGGGTTAGTTGTCATTATTGTTATTCTATTCTAAGTTAGAAGCATGCTACTTAGAAGCATTTGCAGAGCCAGATTGATTAACCTATGGAAAGCACCAGCGATCAGTAATGCTCAGCCACCACATCTTGCCCTATACTGAAGGAAAAAATAGTGGCCAAAATTAACAAACACAGTGAGCTCTACCGGAAAACCAAATTCCAAGTATTGCTCAGCAAGTGCACCCTCATCTGAAAACCACACATGCACCTCTCCAGCTGTTTCATTTCAGTATTTTGATTAGATGTGGGAACGCATTCTAAAGCTTCCTTATCATGATCACTGATGGAGTCATTAGTCAAAGTTGAAATTGTGTCTATGTGTTTTCTTAGCTGTGCAGCTTGCCCTAAATCATGCATTGACCTGAAGTGAATGAGGAAGACATCAGAGAAACTTGTCTATTTCCCCACTACTTCCTATAATAGCCATCAGTACCGAGCTCCAAGAAATCACCAGAGCTCTAAACAAGAGCTCTGTTGACCTTTAGAATACTTTCAGTTTAAGGGATACTTATATGTCCGTCACTCTAATACACTTATTTTCTTGGAGTGACAGAGTATTCACAGTTGCTAGTCACACTTTCTTATAGCTGAACTCCAAATCACAAGGACTATAAGGAGGAGACTGCAAGCTGTCTCGAACCGGGGATACGATTATTTGAGGCTACAGTGGTAAGTGACTAGGCCTAGGGACAGATCAACGCTGCCACCATTCCTTTTTTTTTTTTTAAGTGATCATTAGAAAGGAAACTTAAGACCTTTCCCTTCAAATTTAGTGAAGCAATCTATCTAGAAGCTGTGAAAGTGAGAGAGGAGCCCAAGCAATGCGGCACTAGCTGCTTTTTGGAGCCCTCACCCAGTTTGTCTGCGGAACTGATAATATCAGCTGGAACGGAAGAGTCCAGATCAGCATCCAAGATGCCCAATGGATCGAGCTGGGCTACATGATGCCCTCGAATCTATGAAATGGGCCAGAAATGAAAAAGATAGTGGAAACCAAAAGAGGGAAATGGGGGGGGGGAAGAGAGATGGAAAGGAAAGGGGTATAAAAGTTAAACGTTGTATTCAACTTGCAGAATAATTCTCACCAATGTTTGGCGAATCAGTTACTGTCGAATCATCAAAATTTACACAACTAATGCCGAGAGGATCAAGCTTGGCAATGTGGTGACCCCTGACCTAGAAACAACAACAAAATTAGTCACGAAATTAGGTAACAATCATCCTTCCCATTGCAGGAGTACTGAATTTATCCAAATCCACGCTATTGTATTTCAACAGAGTTATGAATTTATGAAAAACTAGCTTACATTTATATACAGAAGTATTTTTTTTCTTGAAGTAAGAAAGTTTGATGTATTTAATAAAAATCTTGTGACTCAGTATTTAAAAATTTCCCTTCATTTAATTAAACTGGAAAAAAAAGATAAGAAAAAACAAAAATAACATAAAAGGATATATACATGTACATATACAATTTTACACAAAAGTTTCATGAAATAATAACTATATTTCATTAGAATAATTGACATATAGTTTATTGCTACAAGTAACACATTTTAAAGTTGCAAATAGCCATAAATGTATCTTTCCAGTGTTGAAGCCCAATTCTCTTAGTAATAGGAAGGACTTGGAAAATCAATTTCCTTTGTCCAGTGGCTAATTTCTATATATAGATACATAGCCCAAACGGATGTGGACATCTGAATACAGATATACACACACAAAGAGAAAGAGAGATAGACTTCTTCACAGAATATAACTATTTTAAGAAACACAAGGGAAAATGTGTTTGAGGGAAACATTCCCATTGCATCATCAACAATACAATAATTTCCATTTTAATACAAATGCAATTAAGTCCAATAAATCCAAATATTATTCTTTATTGAATAAGCCTTAGTCTAAGATCTGTTGAAATAAGATGTTAAGACAGTATTGCAAAATGGAGATCTTTGCTCCTTATTTCATTCAATCTACTATTTGAGTATCACATAATTTGTCCGCAAAAGTATTTAAATGTTAATGATAGGGTTTTTCACTATCATATTTGGTGAAATGATGCCAATCCTAATCAATATACCATTTGATGTTATGAATATTGTTATTAGGCAACAAAATATTTATTTTTTTTAAACATAGGAAATAGACTAATAAAAGCTCACCACAATAATTTACTTTTATGGCTCATTATCACAATGCTTATTTGGAAAACAGAAACAAAAACACAATTTCTGTAGTCAATGTTTACAAGTTTATTCTGAGAAAGTCGTACAGCAAATGCAATTTACATTAGTCCAATTTAATTCTAATTCTCCTGTTTACGGAGTTGTATTGATTCTAATGCTGGAAAACAACAGAGATGAAGCCACAAGTGACTGGATTTTTAACACTGTCTACATATCTGATGGAAATTTGAAGAATGAGAATAGATAAAATCTTTGGTGATGTATTGTAATTTCTTCATTTGTGTACATACCTCTCAGTCTAGCAAGGGTAAAATATATTTTATTAAGTCATAATGATTTCTCTGGAACTGATCCTGTTAAGGTATCTTTTTCCTATTTCCCTATATTTATGTACAATATTTTAACTAGAAATCTTTTGTATAGGCTAAACTTCAAGAAAATCCTGTCCCCTCTTTCTTTGTAATAACAAAAGGTCATATGTAACTGTTCTCATAAAAACAATTTGGGCTATGCAATTTGAGTGGTAAGACCAGGATGCAGATTCGAAAATCAATGTTATGTCTAGTAATAGGACTAAGTATGGTAGCTAGCTTATCCGATCTACAATGAACAATTTAACCACAGCAAAATTATTATCTTTCTTCTAGTTTTATAAATAAGAATGATGTTCTTATTATTCATACATTTTTTATAGAATTTTATTGAAAGTATTCCTTTTAAACTGTGCTACCTCAAAACAAAACTTAATTTTGTTAAGGAAAAATTGTGTCTAAAAGATGCTTATGGAACAGGGATCCATATACTTGATTCTTGACAGCAATAGAATGTCCTATCTGGGATTAAGAGACTATACCAGGTGGTCTCAAGGGCAGAAGACTTGCCCAGTCAGATTATCAGTACTCTATTAAGTTCCATTTTTTTGCTCCTGCCTATCGTAACAAGTCAATTAGGTTAATTACATAGATTAAATGCTGTATAAAGGTACTGCATAAAACTGCATATTGAAAAAGCTCTTTCATCTGACTTCTCTGAAGCACTGTAAGTGATAAGTCTCAAAAGTTCAGGTCCATTCTTCTACTCAATGAATCTTTTTATGAATAGTATTACTATATAAAATAAAACACATGTGTGAAGAAAGCAATTTACCACAGCAGCTATTTGATATTAAAATGTGAACAATATAACAATAGAAATCAAATTCTTAAGCAGGCAATTTTCTGAAATATGAAGCTGTTAAACATTTCCAATTAATGCTTTATGATCCATCTCAAGAAGAATATAGAGTAGGAAAAATGAAGTAACAAAAACCAGTTTAATCAAGGGAGGAAAAAAGGCTTTGAAAAGGCTTTAAATACAATGATATACAATTAAATAAGTTTTCAAATCTTGGAATCCTGTTCAATTTTTAAAAATATTGTAGGAATCTCCTAAGATTTTAGCAATTTTATTTGCACAACTATACTAAAAAATACCTGAAATGAAGTAAGAAATGTCAATAAGACCAAGAATTAGTCCAATGATCATATTTGACTGAGCCTTCTATCCTTCTGAGATCGGTAAAATGAGGACCCAGATTGTTGCAATATGCTGACTCTGTAAACCGCTTAGAGAGAGCTGTAAAAGCATTGTGAAGTGATATATAAGTCTAAGTGCTATTGGTATTTTTTAAAAAGCCACTGGAGTATGAACTAAGACTAGATTCTGCTATACTACATTTCTATAAGGATGAAAAAGCCCTCCTTATTATTCTCTATTTTACAAAACAATCTGAAGCAATTCAGATTATTCTATGTACAGATGCTATTATCAGGTCAGTGTGATTCAGTTTTTATGAGTGCACAAATTTTGCTCTATTGTTTATAATACAAGACATACAACCAAGCATCAATTATCTTGCTCATATTTTGGTTTGTTTCATTTGTTATTCTTCTGGTTCAGTGACTGGAATAAAAAGGAAAGCAAGTTGACCAAAAACACTCCATTCTATTTAAGCACCAAGTTTAAATCTTATGTTTGAAACAATAGTTACCACATACAAATTAAAAAAATAAACCATTAAAAAAAACCCACACCCTTACCTGATATGCCCTGATAAGTGATTGGACTGCAAGATGATCTTCCACCAGCTTATCTACATTTGGCTGTGCTTGAACCAGAGACTGTGCATGTGCCAGAGTTGATAGGCTGGTATTTAACGGAGGGGGGCTTTGGTAAGCAGTACCTGGAGCAGCTCCAGCATTGGCATTGCGAAAGAATATGTCCCATGACTAAAGCAAATAAAAATAAAAGTCCATTTTATAGGGAATTACTTCTCCAAACAATTTAAATCTATTTTAATAAAGTCAAATTTCTATAACTTCTATAGTAGTACATACATTACTAGACATATTATTAGAAATATCCAAAATGTAGTTAGGAGACTGAATCTTACTGTCTCCTCTTAATTAATTTCATATGATAAGATTTGTAGAACATATCAATGATAGTCCTTGACTTACAACTATTCCTTTAGTGACTGACTGACATTACAACGGTATTGAAAAAAGTGACTTATAACTGGTCCTCCCACTCATTACTACTGCAGCATCCCCACAGTAATGTGAGCAAAATTTGGCCCATGGCAATTGGCATGTACAGTATTTTTGATGGATGTAGTGTCCTGCTGTCATATGATTGCCATTTGTGGCCATCCCAGCCAGATTCCAACGAGTAAAATCAATGGGGGAAGCCAGATTCACTTAACTACTGCAGTTATTTCATTAACAACCATGAAAAAAGGTCATAAAATCAGATCTGAGTTACTTAACAACCGCCTTGCAACATAAATTCTGGTCCCAATAGTGGTTGGGACAATACAGGTTGTCCAGGACAACCTGTAGAAGAAGAAAAAAGATATCTATCTGGAAAATAAAAATAAACAGATTGAAACAGACAAAGATCAAAATCAGAAGTGTTACATCTCTTTCTCTGTTTAGTCCAATTTGAAGGACAGGTGTTTACAATACACCAAAACAATTCAACACATCTCTAGCGTTATTGTACTGATCAAACTGTGAAGACTAACTGAGCACAGCAAGGAAAGTAAGATTCATAGGTTCCAATTAGGAACTTTAAAACATCTGCATGATTACTAAAAAAAATTTCAGGCTTGCTTCTGACATATATATATATATAGACAAAAGTTAAATGGAAAAGCAATGCTTAGGACCAGCATTATGCTTTTGGAAATCAACAAATAAACAAACACAAAGCAGTTACCAAATGTTGCTAATTATGTACATATAAGAAATACATTTTCCATTCTATGATATATGACTTTGCCTTGGTTAATGATGGTTAGGAAACAATAGTAACAACTTATCTACAGATTATTTTAATAATCTCACTTCTTTACACTAAGAGACATAGTTTATTCATATTCTCTCCCATTAAAAAAGATTACATTCTCAAATGAAATTTAGGTAATCAAAAAGTTATTTTGCTTCTCAAATTTAAATATTGCCAAGTTCTGTTGAACTTTTTACCTTTGGCTGTTATAGAATGACATATCCATATAAAATGGGCAAGAAATAAATACAGGAATCTGATAATCATATGCACTATTTTCCCGAAGATGCTTTTTTCAAGAAGAAACTGGACTTTCTGGTTTTTCTTTGAAGATGTTTCGCTTCTCATCCAAGAAGCTTCTTCAGCTCTGAGCTGAAAAAGCTTCTTGGATGAGAAGCGAAATGTCTACAAAGAAAAACCAGAAAGTCCAGTTGCCTCTTGAAAAAAGGACCTTTGGAATAACCATGACCTGGATGACTGAGAATCTCCATAAATATATACACTATTGTTAAAAAAGGTTCTTTGGATGTCAAAAGAGAAAAAGATATCTCATGAATTCCTGCTAATTTCATACTGCAGTGGTATCAGTCCCCATTGTTTCCTATTGATACTATTTTCAGCTTTATTTTTTTATGTAAACCGTGTATCACCCAACTACTGTATACAAGACAAAATCAGGCCATACCAACATGGATCTTGAAAAACAAAAACAGACTCTGGCTATGATTGTGCAGTGCTTCAGATTTGATACACAAAAAATACAAAGGTGGCAGCAATCTGCAATTTTTTAAAAGAATGCTTCCTGAACTTTTCCTTCATTACCAAAAACATTTTCAGGATTCAGCAAAGTTTCATTTTATGGCCTTTATGAAGACAAGAGTGGAAAGCTCTATTTCATGCATGTAGGTGCTTGAAAATGGCAATAATTGCATCAGGGTCTCCTCAGCTACCACACCACAGGATATAAATAATGAACTGTTAATCAGAACAACTCTGAATAGTCCTTTTTTTCAAATAACATTTTGTGCTGACAATTTGACCTAAGTTTGGATCATCTACTCTGCTAAACCATTAATGGGTTTGTCTGTTTTTACCTAAAAGAAAATCACCTCTATCCAATTTTGTGTAATTTAGCTGGGTTTGGGAAGTATTGGTTTAAAGCAAGTACACCTTTTCTTGGGATCAAATTTCTCTTCCAAATGATCCCCAAAGGGCTGCATAGCTTAGGACCCAGTTGATGCATTTCTTGACTATTAGTTTGGTATAGTGGTTAAGGTTCCAGGCTAGAAACCAGGAGACTGTGGGTTTGTCCTGCCTTAGACAAGAAAGCTGGTAGGTGATTTTGGACCAGTCAAGCTCTCAGCCCAGTTCACCTCCCAGCATTATTGTTGTAAGGAAAATAGGAGGAAGAAGTAGTATTAGGTATGTTTGCCAATTTTATTAAAATTATAAAGCGGGATTAAAAATAACTAATAAATAATTCGTCTATGCTTTGTCATGACATAAAAGAATTCTCTTTTCAAAATCCCAGACAAAACAGCTCTCAGTACTGCTTCTTTTGATAAGGTTGTATCTTATTGCTTTGCCAGATTCAAAGCAGTCAAGGATCAAAATGAACTCACAAGTCCTGATATAAAACTTTGACCCCTATTGCAATAAATTACTCAACTGACCATCATAAAATGTGACAACATATGATAAGAAACATTGGTTAGGACAAAGAATACTATTTCTTCATAGCCTCTCCACTATGGTCTCTATTTCATCAATACTTCATTAATAATTTAATTTAAAAGAAAAGCTTTAGGAAACAGATAAAATGCAGCAATATGAAAGCTTATAATTATTCTTACAGTACTAAGACTAGTGGCTATAAACAGGGCAAAAGAGAAAAGCGCACAAAATGCTTAATTATATTATTTTTAATTAATATTCAGCTACTATAAACCATGTTTACATTGCAAACATGTAAGCGCTTCAACTGTTGGTACCTAAATGGTGCAAGATATGGCATGATGAAATCCATAATGTTCAGCATCACAAAATAAAGAAAACCAAAATATTTTTTGAGTCTTGAATACCTGATGCTGCTATTAGATATTCAAAATATGAGGGAAAATTAACTTATGAAACACTTAAAGAGAAAAAAATGTCAAGCTGCAAGCACAGGTATAGTTTTTTTTCTATAAAGGAACATACTAAATTCTTTATTTCTCTTCAATAGCTCAAGCAGTTCTAAATTGTTAAATGAGGTGATTGTAAGAATACTGTTGATTCTAAATGCTACACTTGTGCATATTAATATTGTGCATATTAATAGAGCAGAGGAAATGAAAGCAACACAAAACCTACATATAATCTATAGTTCAGAGAATTTATTACATGATCACTATTCTAAAGTACATCTCAAGCCATTAAAAAACTATACTAGATTTTACTGTTAATCTTGTGACTGCCTTAGTCCAAGAGAAAAAAAAATATTTTGCATTTGTTCAACAGCACCATCCCACTTTCCTCCATTCTCATTCTGTGGAATGAGCATAGTACAGCTATGAATAGAACCTGAACAGAGAATAATAAACTGCTTTTAGAGACATTTCCTGGCTGTCTGAAACAAATTAAACCTACAAAAAAACCCACAAGTGCAGCTGAATTATAAAACTCTTTAGGACTACTAAGTCATTTCCCTGGTCAGGCTAGTTTTTGCACTCTATAATATTCAGTGATGATAAACTCTAGCCATCTGTGGAACACCAATTATAAAGCAATTTCAGGAATTAGCATTGGATCACATTTTACTGTTGACAGGCTTAGCAAAGGAGTGATTAGTTAAACAAGTAGTCAAGTTATATGATTCCTCCCCATGTAGATGTTACATTGTTCTTTTATTTTAGGTAAGAGTGCAATTACATAGTTCAATTCAAAGATCAAGAGGACTGTAGGGAAGTTCCCTTTCAATGATAAACTAGGTCTTATTTCTTCAACCACCATCTTCCCCTTGATCTCCGCAAACAACTGTTCTGAGATTAGAATACCTGGCTTCTATCTCAAAATAGACATCTGGTGGGCTAGGGCAAGGCTAAAAAACTGTTAAGTGGATCCTCAGCAAATCTTTTGCTAAGAACCCAAATATTCACATGTAAACAACCAGAGCAACTCTTTCTCCTTCTGCCCCAAATAGCCTCCTTCTGCCCCAAAGGGAAAAAAACCCAGTACTAGTAAACCTGCTCTTTCGTAGCAAATAGTACTCTTAAGATTCGTTGAATTGCATGCTCACATTTTCGGTGCTTGGGCGAACGGGTTGTTAAATTTATATGTCGCCCACCTCTGTATAAAAGGGATACTATACTAAACAAAATGATTATCAAGTGTAATACTGAACAAGGAATATATTATATATAGCATAGAAAGAAAGTAGACAGATATGTTTTCAAAAGAGTAACAGGAGGATGGGAAGGGGTAAAATATAAAAAGTCTTTTATTGCAAAAATTGGAATTATTGGAAAGAGTCAAAGGAAATTACAGAGTAAATTGAGTTTAATTACTGGAAAAAAGTGAGAGGGAGAATTTAGAATGGAGTTACAGAATATGTTTTTTTTTTTAAAGTATCCCAACATTCCTCACTATTGGTCATGCTGCTTGAGGCATACTGAGTCAATCATATTCAGTAATGTCTTATGGCAATAGGTTTCCCAATTCTGATTTAAAGCATTCAAATATGTAGGGTGGGGAGAGAGAGTTGGTCTGCTCTTTGATGAGAACCCTAGTTAGTTGAGTGGATAGCATTGCATAGTGGCTCTTTTTATCCTGGTTTGTTTTATGATTTTAAGTAATCTAGAAACTATAATTTAGTTGGCATAGGAATGTGTATATCAGATTTTATTTGCAAACCATTCCATTTTTAAAGAATTTCTCATTATACAGAAAATAAGAGTCCAAGAGAATATTTGGACCTGCACTTTTATATTTAAATATGAAACTCCAAAAAATAGAGGGAGAAACCAAGTTGTACTTTTAGAATATTTCCCTACTGAATAGAGACACCTTAATTTTTATGGCACTTTATGGGCTTTTATAAGTGGTGTATATTCTGAAAAAAAGCAATACAAATTATGATGCCCAGTAAGTAGCAGTATTGCTTTATGATGCTTCATTTTCAGTGATGGTGAAGTATGGAATTAGTGAAAAAATACCGATACATTTCAATAGGCCAATACCAGTCAATATAATCAGCCAACTAAGTTTGTGTTGTTCTGCATTTCTCCTAAATTGTCCATAGTTTTTAAGTGCTTCAGACCAAAAGTTATTGTAATGCTTATCCATGAACTATCTCTAACATGAATTCTATCTCTATCTCTATTTCCCTTTTGCTCTGTCATTACCTTAGAAATTACATGTTGAATTAGCCAGTTTTACAATAGGTCAGCAGACCTGATTACCATGCCATAAATCTGTGACCTTCAAACAAGCCACCAGGTTTTTATTCAGTCTTATCTCAGGAGGCAGGGACTACTTTCTCTTAAGAAAATTTTAGAGAATCTATTGGTGTTGCAACTACCTTGAGCTGTGAACAGAAACTCGTAATGATCACCAATTAAATCCAATTGAGAATTATGGACTTCATATCCTATTCTAGCCCAATTCTTTCTCATGGCCACAGTTAGTTGTCCAATTTAAAGGATTTAACCAGTACTAATGAGTCCTCTATTATATAGGTTTCAAACAGAGCAATAGAAAAATAGGACCAGCTATGCATCTCATAATGTAGTTTTATCCTCTGGTATGTTGTAACATATAGAAATAATGTTAGCACCAGCTACACAGTGGTGGGTTGCTCCTGGTTCTGTCTGGTTCTATAGAACGGGTAGTATAAATGGCGGGAGGCTCTGCCCACCCAGCACGACATCGTCATTGGTGAACTGTGCATGCACAGAGGCTTCTGCGCAAGCATAGAAGTGTGTGCATGCGCACAAAGCGATCACGTGTGTGCAACCCTGCTGCAAACCGGTAGTAAAGGTAAGCGGAACCCACCCCTGGAGCCCTTGCAAACTGTACCTTGCACTAGTTCTTGAATTTGGTTTCAAATAATAAAACAGTATAAACAGTATAAAGAGTCATTATACAACAGTACAAACAGTTTAGAATATAAACATATAAACAATACAAATGCTTTTCTCCAATCCAATAATCCATCTCTATTACTTCAGAAGCAAAGATCCAGAGATATTTTCTGATTTCTCAAATAATAATGAAGGAAAATTGCTTTTTTTTGGTATCCTTGACAAAATTAGGAGAATAATTCTTCAGAGGAAGATGATCACAAACTTCACAAATTTGTTCCAATGTTGCCTTTCCCATCAGTTCTGTGCTGGGTTGACCATGTTTCTGTAGAACTGGAATGAATTGAAAGGTTCCAGCATCATCTTCAAGGTGGAGCTTCTGCTATGACCAACTATACTTACCTGAAAACGTTTAGCCTTAAACCATGAGTACCAAAGTGCAGAAGAAAAAGCTTTATTCTAAGGAGGCTACTCCTTACCTTATGTACACTTTTTGGATTTTCCAACCAAGCAAAGTACATTTCCTCCACATAATTTGAACTAGTCCCACTCAAAAATGGCTCAGCAGCAACAGGTGCACTGTAGCACCTGATCTGTTGAAACGTCCTTGGTGCTGCTGCTGGTTTGTTTAGAGAAACTGTCTTAATAGTCTGTGAGGCAGTCAATGGCCTTAGTTTACTAGCACAAGTCCTTAAGTGAAACATTTTTGTCCTGCAGCAACAGGCAAGTTCCTGTTGAGAGAAAAATAAAAACAGAGTCAGTGATTAAACAAAAGTACATAGACTATTAAATTAATCAAGTGGTCAACACAGACTATGCCGATTTATATTTAGAGTCTTTCACTATTCACATGGAGAATATAAGAGTTATGGTGGATCTGATTAAGAATCTCTTTAGTTCATGCCGTTTCTCTTACAGATTTAGAAACCAAAGAACTAAAAAATATGAGGTAGTGAATTATATAACTTGTAATGTCTACTCTTAATGGCACAACTACTTTCCATCTATCCTATAATTTAGCTGATGATGCAACTCTTATCCCAAAAGCAGAACATGAACAATATTTTCCAGACAGTATTCTCTATTCACACTTGTCCAGGTTTTCCCCATGAACTTTCAATGAATCCATTCACTATTTCAATGCTGCCATATGCTAAATAAATAATAACAACAACTGTTTCTAACTTTCCCTTCATACATAGTTTTGCACATCAACAAAGTCATGATAATGTGACAATTTGAACACCTGAATTTTCTCTAATACAATACTCTAAAAAGCAGTTGCTTATAATTAGGTTTAAAATGATTTTCCTTAAGAATTCTTGAATACTAAGAGATGGCTGTCACTCAATACAAGGCAGCTTGAAAAATTCCAACATGAAACAATGTCCAAAAGAGTAGTAGTGTTGTCAGTTCTTCATCAAAAACAGTAACAATCTTAGGACTCCTTAAAGCAGTGGTTCTCAACCTTCGTAATGCCGTGACCCTTTAATACAGTTCCTTATGTTGTGGTGACCCCTAACCATAAAATTATTCCTAAAACCATCAAAAATATGTGTTTTCCGATGGTCTTAGGCCAGGGGTTCCCAACCTTTTGGACCTCAGGGACCACCAAGTTCATAATTTTAAATTTTGCGGATCACTAATACGAATGCAGCGCGCTGCTTGCTGAAGCACCTGGACTCCCAGTGACAGGATGGGGTTCTTCAGGCACTCTCCCTCCTCTCTCTCTCTCTCCCCCACTCTTTCTCTCTCATTCTCTCTTTCTCTCTCTCTCCCTCCCTCTCTCTCCCCCACTCTTCCCTCTTTCTCTCCTTCTCTCTCTCCCCTCTTTCTCTCTCCCACTTTTTCTCATTCTTTCTCTCCCCCCACTCTCTCACTCTCATTCTTCTCTCTCCCCCCTTCTCATTCTTTCTCTCCCCTTCTCTCCCCCACTCTCTCATTCTTCTCTCCCCCCTTTCTCATTCTTTCTCTCTCCCCCTTCTCCCCCACTCTCTCATTCTTTCTCTCTCTCCTTCTTTCTCATTCTCTTTGTCTCTCTCCCACTCTCATTCTTTCTCCCTTTCTCTCTCCCTCTCTTTCTTTCTCTCCCCCCTCTCTCTCCCCCCCTCTCTCCCCCCCTTTCTCACTCTTTCTCTCCCCCTCTCTTTCTCTCTCTCTCCCCCTCTCTCTCATTCTGATTCTCTCTCTGATTCTTTCATTTTGTCTCTCTCTCATTCTCTGATTCTGATTCTTTTTCATTCTCTCTCTCTCTCTCTCTCTCATTCTGTCTTTCTCTTTCATTCTTTGTCTCTTTCTCTTTCTCATTCTGATTCTCTTTCTCTCTCTCTCTCATTCTCTCTCTCTCTCATCTCATGGGCCAGCCAGTGTCTTGGGGCTGAGAGGAAGTCAAGCATTTCCCTGAGAGACCGAGGTGCACGGAGCACCAACAAGGGCTAGAAGAAGTGTGGGAGTGAAGCACTACTTGAACTTGCATGAGCATTCGCGTATATTTGTGCCGGCCGGTGGCCAAGTCAGCCCTCATCTCCTGCCGCTTGGGACTCGGAGCGGTAAATGGTGACTGGTCCAGGGAGCAGCCAGATTTTGCTGTCCATTGCGGATGCCAGATCGGCCCCCTGCAAGCTCTCGTCTCTCAAGGAGTGCTCCCTGAAGCGGCACTGGAAACTTTGGTCTGATTCCTTGAGAGACGAGAGCTTGCAGGGGGCCGATCTGGTGTCTGCAATGGAGAGCAAAATCCAGCTTCTTCTCTCTGCTGTAAGTGTGGCATCAGGATTCCGGCTTGGTATATTTGTGGCACAAGGCAGCCCTCATTTCCTGCTGCTTGGGACTCGGAGTGGTAAAGAGCATCTGGTTCAGGGAGCAGCCGGATTTTGCTTTCCGTTGTGGATGCCAGATCTGTCCCCTATAAGCTCTCGTCTCTCGAGGAGCCCAACCAAAGTTTCCAGCGTCACTTCAGGGAGCGCTCCTCGAGAGACGAGAGCTTGCAGGGGGCCGATCTGGCGTCCGCAATGGAGAGCAAAATCCGGCTGCTCCCCAGACCAGACATCATTTACCGCTCTGAGTCCCAAGCGGCAGGAGAGGAGGGCTGCCTTGCGCCACTGGCTGGCGCAACTATACCGAGGCGGAATGCTGTTGCCGTGCAAATGAAAGTAGTGCTTTGCTCCCGCAGCTTCCAGCCATTGCAAACGCCGCTTCTTCCCGCTTGTGCCGCCCCCTCCCCCCCCACAACAGCACCATTCATTCCGGACGGCGAGGGTTGCACTCCTTTCCCATATTGCACCACCTGCAAAAATACGAAAATTTCTCCGCAGACCACCAGTTGGTGACCACTGTCTTAGGGGACCCCTGTGAAAGGGTTGTTCGACCTCCAAAAGGGTCGCCACCCACAGGTTGAGAATCACTGCCTTAAAGGATAACTCAGTTTATTATTGTCTGTATTTTAATGGCTCACAGTCCATTTCATCAGAGGAAGTATCAGTTATTATATATTGTATTATTCACTCACCCTTGTACTGATTATGCTAGGAGGGAAGGTCAGTAATCATAACATCCTGATTTCAGTAATGTGGATTCAATTAAAAAATGATGCTTCAGCGCATCTGGGACTATGAATATAGTACCTGTTAAAAAAATATTTAAAACACCTGAATAGTTTTGAAGTTTGTACACTATGCTGGGAAAAGTTGCAACTATTTAAAAGAGGTATTATGTTTGTGCTCCTTCATTCTCCAAAGAACACATTTTGAAAATGAATTCAAAACTCCGGTCACCACTAATAAACATACTGTGCAACTACCAAAAATTACTTGTTTCTAGTTATTATACAGTATTTATTAGACTTAAAAAAGTTCATAGTTTATGATAGATTTTAACTTGACTTTTAATATTTTGATTCTTTGAAACTTGTTGCTTTAGCTAAATCAGTTATTTTAAAATCTATTCATTTCTCAATCATCTACTTAAGTGTCTCATGAATATTAAACTAATCAAGGCTATTTAAATTATTAAACTATAGAATAATGCAATGCTTTAGTTTTCCTTGATAATGGTTTTATGTTTGATAAGTACAGATATACAGTATCCAAACAATACAAGTTGCTTTCCAATCATTATCTTACTTCTTAGTAGGTAAGCTACTGTTCCAGGCTCATTATTATCATGTTTTAAATTTAGATCCTGTGCCTATTTCCAATAATCATATAGAAGCCTAGTTATTGGTTACTGGTTTTGCAACCAAAAGCAAGCATGATTATTCTGGAAATTAGAAAATGGAAGCCTTTATTTAAAGCAGTATTTGAAAAAGAAAAAGGAGGGGTTCTTTGCAAATTAAATTGTCAAATTAATTTACTCTGCCATCACCCATTAATGAGAGGCAGTTTATTGATTAATTTATCTGGATACAACTAATACAAAACACTACTGCTATATTTGCATCTGCTCTATCCTGATACCACTATTTTGCTCTATAATTTGCCTGAAGAAGATGAATCTTTCTAACTTCATGGAGGAAATGCAAACACAGTATAGGTAGATGAGACCAATTGGGATAGAGGTCTTTAATAATAATAACAAATAATAATAAATAAAAACAATAATTACTCTTGAACATCTTGATGTTACTCTTACACATGTGACAGAAAGCTGAGTGCAGGGAACCAACTCTCATTCACTAACTCAGCTGAACCCTTTTCAAGATCCCTTTACAAAGAAAAGGTGTCAGATCTGGAACCCATCTTTCTACCTTTGTGCCTTCAGGCTTCAGGCCTGCCACAAATTCTACTGTGGGAAATTGGGAGGGGGGATTGTATAGAGTGAAGAAGATATGTAGTCAAAATAAAATTCTTTATAGAAAGTCAAGGCCATTGTGCCCTGCAGCTGTGTTGAGAAGAATGAGGAGGTATCTTCTGTTCCGGAGGGTACCTGATTGGACATGTGATGGACATGTGGGTGAGGGGCAAGATCTTGAACTTTCTTTTGGGTGTGGAAAACCCAGAAGTTCTCAGATTCAGGTTTTCCCAGCTGTGCCAATATGACATCTCTAATAAAAGTTAGCTTTGAGGAACTTCAAGCCTCGGAGTTTGATTTCATTGGGGTTGTTACTTGGAATCCTGACAAAAGGAAAATTCTGCTGACTTCCATCCCATTCAGAATTTTTGTGGCTGAGTGGGAATCACAGTCCTTTCTGTTGAATATTATATACTACGGAGAATCCTAAGATACTTTTAAGACAATTAATACAGTAGTATGACATTTTAGTATTAAAATGTATGTGTGGAAGACACAAACAATACTTAAGCCTCTTGTTTCAAAGAGATCTACTTAGTTATAATACACAAACACCAATATTCATTTTGCCCTGGTTTAAATGTTATGAACAGAGTTAAAGAGAGAGCATACTGCCCCTAAATGACATTCAATATCTCGCTATATTCAACTGATAAAGTGAATAGGATACATCCCTGAATAATCTGAATTATTTTACTAATAAAATCATCTGGCTCAATGGCAGATTATTATGTATTTACACAAAAGGAAAAATGATGAAACTTGGAAAAACTACCTCAGCACAAAGCGTACTGTACAATTTACATAAGTCTATTTGTTTGAAAACTACACAAGAAATCTGAAGCTCAGTCATATGGTTTGGTGATTCCAGAATGAAGTTCTCATAAAAGGGCACTGCAAGCTTCCCTTACCATTATTGTAAAGAGATCACCGAACAACACAAGGACAAGAGAAGCAGTAACATTTTAAAGTAGCTCTGAATATAAAGCAAGAAATATAATTGACAAGACTTCATCCAGCCTGATAAGAATCTATGCAGGTTTAATAACTAGGACCTTATACCCGGAACAGACACAGAGACCTACATTTTAAGTGAGAGAAAATCTCATTAGTTGATATTTCCTTCCTTATAACTACACAAGGAAGGGCATCTCAACTGAACACAGTCACCTTGGAGAAGAACACTTCTATACGGAGGTAGCTTTGTTTTTCCATGAGGTATAGTAACCACAGTGGCTATTTCTGTCCTTCTTGTAACTGAACCAAATGGTTACCCCTTTATCTTCCTCCTGCAACATGTACCAAATAGTAAGTGCCTAAGATATACTAACATCAATAGTATGTCTGCTATTGGCTCAGCAAGCACATTAATACTTTTATTGTTTTTAACTCATTTCTTATGTTCTAGGGCCCCTTATAACACTTTGACTGAGTTCATGAAACACTATAAAACTACCTTTATGAAACACAATTGCTATCTTCATATAACATATAATATCACAAGCCATATTATAGTTTTAATGTGATGGCCTGATTCACACAACAGGTAAAGACAATGGATAAATTCCCACAGGAGGCTGAAGTACAGATCCTGTGAAGTTAATTTTAGTTGAGCACAATGTGTTATGCACAAAATGATAAATACTATATGGTACAGTGCAGTGGTGGGTTACTCCCGGTTCGGTCCAGTTCTATAGAACCGGTAGTAAAACCGGTGGGAGGCTCCGCCCACTGACCACGTCATCATGAGTGATCTGCGCATGTGCAGAAACGTGCACACGTGCTCCTGTTGCAAACCGGTAGTAAAGGTAAGTAGAACCACCTGGTATAGTGGTTAAGTTCTAAAACGAATGGAGGAGACTCAATTTACAGTCATGTTGTGGAGTGCCTTTAAGTAAGTGTTGACACCTGGTGACTGCCTGCTGTTTTCTTGGCAAGGATTTTCAGAAGAGGTTTACTATTGCCTTCTTCCTAGCACTGAAGGGAAGTGGCTGGCCCAAAATCATCCACAATTTCCCGTTCTGGTGCCTTTACCATTACACCAAAGTGGTTCTCTTATATCCATCATCAGCAGTAATATTTGGCTAGGCTCTAAAGAATTTATTTTGTTTAAAGAATTCACTGATTCTTGCTAACCTGGTCAACATGCTGCTCTTCAGGTTTAAAAGTTTGAGACCCAAACATGTATGGAGATATATCCTGTTGCTATTCATTATAGAATATTCTTCATAAGAAGTTACATGTAGTGCCAATTTTACTGGGTTTTGGGTGCCAACCAAAACTTTTAAAACAACTATTTATATTATTTCATTGTTACTGTCCCCCAAACTGTTTTCATTTTATATGCTTCAATCTCTTACCTGAATTTTTCTCCCTCAACTTGTCTGGCAAATATGTAGATTAAAAATGAGGAGGAAGGGGGAAGAGAGCCAGGTATCCAATGTCTTTATGAGAAGGCCAAATATTTTATGTATTTTACAATATTTCAGACCTATCCCAAACCGTTAGGCTTTGATGTGAGGGTTTGATTTACATTTTGATTCACCTAGCCACAATTTATTGAGTAAATCACAACTTGCTAGATCCCCACATCCTAAACCAAAGACCAGGACTGACAATCCATAACAGTTCATATCAAGGACTAGACTAACCACAAACATGGATGGCTCCTATGGTTTGTGTTTAAATGTGCATAGGAGTACCTAGATTTACACTACATATATTCGGATCTCTACAAGGCAGCAAAGTGTTAAACAAGACTTTCCTGTAGCTCAGCACTTCTCAAAGCTGCCAATTTTAAGAAGTGTGGCTTCCAACTTCCAGCTGGGGAATTCTGGGAGTTGAAGTCTACCCCCCTTTAAAAATTGACAAGTTTGAGAAACACAGCTGAAGATCTAAGCTACACATTTTGCAGCCCACACAGGAATAACTAAGTGTGTATAGTAAAACTTTTCTTTCTCTCTATCAAAAATCACTGTCAGTATTGTTGTTTGATCAAAGTGGGACTTCAAAGAGGTCTAATTACTGGCTTGGCCGCTTCTTTCCCTCACCGTGACTGTCATTCATGAAAGGAAAAGGAAAAGGACAAGGGGGGGGGGGTAACCGAGTCCTCCGCCCAAAAACTGGCCCACCTGAGAGGCCCCAGGGAAAGGAGCTCGGCCCGGTTCTGGCAAAGGCGGAAGAAGCCGGCTCAGCCAGCCAGCGAACCAGCCGGCATTACTCCCCAGTAGGAAGCGGTGGGTGCGGGGGGGGGGGGGCGGCGCATGCGCAATAAAGTCGAGAAGGCGCGCGGGGTCTGACTGATTGCCCGCTCGCCCACCCATCCACCGTTCCATCCCGAGCGACGTCGCCTCAAGGACACGCCGGCCTGTAGGACCGCCCCGGCCTCCAGGAAGGGCGGCGTTAGCCGTCGCCGCCCCGATAGTTCCTCTGCGCCAGTGGCTTTCGGGGGGCCCGCTTAGCGCCTCAGCCCTCCCCCCACCTCACGGCCCGTTACCTGCCAGCGCCTCTTCGGTGTTCTCCGCCGCCCCTCGCGCGCTCGGCTTGACAGCGCCAACAGCCGGCCCCGCCTCTGCCGCTCAGTACGTCATCACGCACGCAGGCCAGCCCTAGAGTTAGAAAAGGAGGGAGAGACCTCCTGGCCTCTCTTGCAAGGGTGGGTGTGGGGGAGTTTAGGAAGGGAGACAACCTGGAGATCTTTGCGTGGGAGGCTCGCCCAAAAAGTCAGAAGAAACCTTTCCGGCGGCCGCGCTGTAGCTGAGAGAGCTTAAGAGGCGTCTCCATGAAGTCACCTGGAGCTGAACTCAAGTGGAAGATTTTCACAAAGGCAAGTCAGAACCGGTTGGACGCTAAATGGGACACCAACACGAAACCCCGAAAAGTGATGGTCAAATTTAATGGGTTATATCGGCTTTTGTGAGCTGTAGCTCACTTTTGTACATCAGGTAAAGTCAACTATTGCTCATGAAAACATACTTTTTAATAAAATTGGTGAGTTGGGAAAGGTGCTGCCCAGACTCCTGACTTTTTTCCTTCAGAGATGTAAGCTATTCAATGCTCTCCCACAGTATATGGATGAGAAATCTTATGAGAACCTGCATTGTCATCTTGGAAGGAAAACTCCAGGTCCAGTTCTAAGCTGTAAGAAAAGTGCTGGAAATAAAATGGAGGGGGGAGACTGATTGGAAAGAGGGTCAGTTTATTGATGAAGCAGAACCACCAACCACATGTGATTCTGGGACAGCTGACAAAATGGAGTTGAGAGTGGGTGGATTTTTATACCTTCTGGATTCCTATGGGGCCATGTAGGGGTCATGGCTGGCTATATAGGCAAAAGAGAAATGCAAATCCTAGGTCCGTGATGGCGAACCTATGATATGCATGTCAGAGGTGGCAGGCAGAGCCCTCTCTGTGGGCACGTGTGACATCGCCCCAGCTCAGCCAGCTGGTAGTTGGGTTTCTGAAGCACACACGCGTGCCAGCCACCTGGTTATTGGGTTTCTAGTGTTCTGGTGCACACAGGCACATGCGCCTTCCGGTTTGGGCACTCTGGTTTCTCTTCAGATCGTATAAATCTTTCGCCTTTTTTCCGGTTTCCGCTCTGTGCCTAAAAGGTTTGCCATCACTATACTAGGTGTTTGTCTGAGCTAATTTTGTCAACCTTTTGTTTGTTGCTTGTCTGAGTTTCTGTCTTGACCCAGTCTTTCTGAATGGATTACCAAATCTGCATTTCTAAAAGCTGACTCCTCAATTTCTGCTTGGGGCAGAGCTGGTTTTTGCCTCCCTTAAGATTTTTCTCATTTTGGGGAAATATTCTATCCTGCCTTCCGAAAATATTTCATTGGGGGGGGGGTGTCCCCACAGAATTATATTCCATAATGTAAGTATTAAACATTATGTCTATAAATCAATCTCTCCCTCTTCCCCATTCTCTCACGGGAGAAAAATACATGCTCTTGCAGTTTTCAGTTTTGCTAAATTCAACAGCTGTAGAGGCAGAGGCAGTTTGAAAGAACAAATCTTTTCTCCAATTTACAGAGGAAAACCATGTATACTTATGTTGACTTATCCAGGGAATCCCGCTATGCATCAGTGAGCTAGCTCCTCTGGAAATATATTCCTGCCAGGTTTTACTCCGCTTTTGTGTGCAACTCAAGGAACATTTTATGACCTCCTTCTGCCGCCGATAACCTCCCACCGACCAGTACGCTCCCACAGAGAGGGACTCCTCAGGGTGCCGTCAGCCAGGCAATGTCGGCTGGCAACCCCCAGGGGGAGGGCCTTCTCTGTGGCAGCACCTGCCCTCTGGAACGATTTGCCCCCGGAGATACGAAGGATACCAGATCTCCAGGCCTTTCGCCGTGCCCTAAAAACTTTTCCATCAAGCAGGGCTGGCGTGACCCCCCCCTCTTTTTAGTTCTTTTTAGCTTTTTAAGTGTAAATTGGGTTTTAATTGGATTGTTTTAAATTGTGGGCCAAAGCTGTATAATTCTTTTAATTGATTTTAAATTTTGTATTGGTATGTTTTTTATCCTTGGCTGTGCACTGCCCTGAGTCCAAAAGGAGAAGGGCGGTATATAAATTGAATTATTATTATTATTATTATTATTATTATTATTATTATTATTAGTAATAATCCCAACAATGTCCCTTTGAAGTTGGACAGATGAAACACTAGCAACCAGAAGACTCCTTAGTAAACTATTGCCATGAAAAATGGAGAGATATTTGCATATCTCTCCAATAGAACAGAATAGAATTTTTTTTTATTGAAAGAGTTTTACAAATACAAATTTTCCCATTCCCCCCCCTTTCCCTCCCTAACCCTCCCTAACCCTCCCCTCCTCCCCTGACTTCCCCAAGGTGAAATCCAAATCCAAATCATATTATATCATAGTTTACCGCCCTTCTATCCCCTATCCCCCCCCCCCCGTGTACTATACATTTCTACATGACATTGAACTATTCTACCCCCTATATACTATACATTTCTACACAACATTCAACTAAAAGCTATCTGGTACTTCCTAGTTTGGTATTTATTCTGCACATAATCTATCCATTTCTTCCACTCCCATACATAAGTCTCTTGAGTCTGGTCTTTTAAATATGCTGATATCTTTGCCATTTCTGCAAAACTGGCCACCTTCAAAGTCCATTCTTCAATAGTAGGCAAAACATCCCTTTTCCAGTATTGACCAATCAGTAACCTAGCTGCTGTCACCATATACAATATCAATTTTGTTTCACCCATTGAAAAACCCTTAACTATGCCCAATAAAAATAATTGAGGAGAAAATTGGAGTTTTTTCTTCAGAACATTTTGCATAACCCACCAAATTTTTATCCAAAAAGCCTTCACTTTCTTGCAAGTCCACCATATATGATAATATGTAGCATCCAAACAATCACATCTCCAACATTTTGGTTGAACATTAGGATACATGCATGACAATTTCTTAGGATCTAAATGCTACCTATAAAATATTTTATAAAAATTTTCCCTCAAATTCTGACTGCGTAAATTTAACATTCTGAACCCATATTTTTTCCCACGTTTCCATCATGACTGGTTCTGCAAAATTTTGTGCCCATTTTATCATACAATCTTTAACCAATTCGTTTTCTGAGTCTCTTTCTAACAAAACATTATAAACCCTCTTGATATGCATTGGGCCTCTCTCTTTTATCTGTCTAACCAATTCTTTTTCATGCAACATTAAACCAGTTTTTTGATCTTCTCTCCATCTCAGTTGAAGTTGATTATACTGTAACCAAGTTAAATTAATCCCTTCTTCCAACAGTGTGTTTAATGTCTTTAATTGCCATCTGCCCCATCATTAAAAAGTACTTCTTTGTATAAAACCCCCCCGAGTGACTTTATATTTATATTCCGTATGATATGACCAAGATCCAACCACAATGGTATTTTATAATCCCATTTGAACCGGTGCTTCTTCCATACTCTCATCAAGGAGTTTCTAAGCATATGGCTGTTGAATACTTTATCCACTTTATTTTCATAGAATAAATATGCATGCCAACCAAATTCAAGATCATAACTCTCTATATTCAATATTCCAGTCTTTGTCCTTCCAAACCAATCACTTGCTTGTGTCAACGCTGCTGCTTCATAGTACAATCGTAGGTTTGGAAGTTTAAGACCACCCCTTTCACGAACATCTTGCATAATTTTCAATTTAACTCTTGGCTTTTTCTCATTCCAAACAAACTTATTCACTCCTTTTTGCCATTCCATCAGCTGTTTATCACTTTTAAGCACCGGAATCGTTTTTTTTTTATTTTTTTTTATTTTTTTTTAATTTGATTTATATGCCGCCCTTCTCCGGAGACTCAGGGCGGCTTACAGTGCATTAAGCAATAGCCTTCATACTTTTGTATATTTATACAAAGTCAGCTTATTGCCCCCACAAACTGGGTCCTCATTTAACCTACCTTAGAAAGGATGGAAGGCTGAGTCAACCTTGAGCCTTGGAGAGATTCGAACCAGCAGTAAATTGCAGGCAGCTGTGTTAATAACAGGGTGCTTTAAACCACTGTAGTACCAAGTACTTGAAACAAAAATAAAAATCTAGGTAGAACATTCATTTTAACTGCTGCTATTCTTCCAAGTAGAGACAGCTGCAGTTTTTTCCAGGTTTCCATATCCTTTTGTACCTTTCGCCACAACACTTCATAATTGTTTTGGAACAGTTTTATATTTAAATCTGCAACTTGAACTCCTAGATATCTCACCTTTGATACTATTTCAAAGATATCTCACCTTTGATACTATTTCAAAGCCTGCCTTCCTTTCAAGTTCCTTCTTTTGATCAACTGTCATATTTTTAACTATCATCTTGATTTTTTTCTGATTCAGTCTAAATCCTGATACCATACCATATTCTTCTATAATGTCTTTCATCTGAATTATTGATTCCATCGGCCGTGTTAGGGTTACAACCAGATCATCTGCAAATGCCCTTGTTCTGTAATCCTCTTGCCTTATAACTATTCCATTCAAAGTGCTCGAGTCCCGTATTGTATTCAACAAGACTTCTAGAGTTAAAATAAACAACAACGGGGATAACGGACAACTTTGTCTTGTGCCTTTTTCTATACTGAAATTTGTAGTTAAACTTCCATTAATGATAATTTGTGCTGTTTGCTCTTGATAAATTGCTGAAACCGCCTGCACAAACTGATCCCCAAAGTCCATCTTTCTTAAAGTCTTTAATAGAAAGTTCCAGTTCACTCGATCAAAGGCCTTCTCCGCATCCAAAAACACCAGCACTGCAGAGATCTGTTTATTCTTCTCAAGATATTCCAATAAATCTATAATTTGCCTCACATTATCCTTCATGTATCTGCCTTCTATAAATCCTGCTTGATCATGATGAATCACCTCTTGAATAACTGGCATTAGTCTGTTGGCTAATACTTTTGCAAAAATTTTATAATCCGTATTCAGGAGAGATATTGGTCTAAAATTTTCCGGTTTTGTAGAACCTGCTTCCTCTTTCGGTATCAAAGAAACAAAAGCTGCTTTCCATGAAGGGGGTATTTTGTTGTATGCTACAAAATA